GCTATTTTAGATCTTAGCAGCTTTGACAATATTCGTTGACAAATACCATCCAACAAAACTGACATCTGACTGTGAAAGTTCTTTCAAATCAGATGATGTAAAAAACTATCTGCGTTCAAAAAATGTAAACCAATATTTCATTGTCGACCAAAACCATTCTGCTCTTGGTGTCATTGACGGTTGTATAAAAATGTTAAGAGACTTAAACCAACCACAAGGTGGTGAAGCAAATGAAATGTCATATGACGACAAATATAGACACTTCTCCATGGCAAAGATGAGACAAGTTTTAAATATTTACAATAGCCGTAAACAAAAAGGTTTGGGAAACCACTCCCCCGAAGAAATGAAAAACAACCCTGACTTAGAGAAAGACTATATATTTAATAATTTAGTCAAAAGAGACAAACAAGAAAGAATGCCGGGCTTCAAACTTCAGAAAGGTGACAAAGTAAAAATAGAAATACCTAAACGCGACCCATATGAAAATACTATTGACTATGACAACAATGGGAACCCGACAGGTACTCACATTCGTGTTCGTAAAAATAGAAGAAAGTATACAAGAGAATATTATGAAGTTTTAGGCAAACATGGCAAAATGTACACACTGCAAGCAGAAGATAAAACGACTATTGTCAGACCTCGTTTCAAACTTGTCAAAGTTCAAGGTGGTATACTTTCAAAGACAGTTCCTAACAAATATAAGACAACTCCTGACGAATATGCTAAAGAAGTTGAAAATGACGACTAAGCATTTCTATACCATGCGTAAACTGTCATGTAAGGTGGCATGTAGTCTTTACTTTGTCCCGTTGTTTGCGTATATCCCGAAACGCGATGTGTATGGTTTCCTCCTCCCTCAGTGTTACTCCAGAAACAATTTATAGCAAACTTAACGTTGTCTTTAACATCATATCCTTTACCTTTTGTCATTGCTGACCAATCCCAATATCTATGCTTATGCCAACCTGCTTGAGATGTACTTAAATCTATGTAGTGACTGTGTGCAGGTAAATTTTCACCTGAAATCGTTTTACTTCCACCTGTTTCCTTTGAAGAGTTTGCACAATACAAAAACCTGTCGACTATTTGAGTCCAAGTTCCAAAACCCAGAACTGTTTCTGGTCTGGTAGAGTTCATTGACGTATAAATAGAGCCTATAGGATATAATGTTTGAAGTATTTCTGTCTTTAATGTTTGAAGCTCTGTTTTGTCTGCTTTCTTGTCATATAAATCTTGAGCAGTGAATTTAATATTATGTTCATCCTTCATGACATAAACATCTTTACATCTAATGTTTCTCATCGTCGTTATGTCGTCATCCGATGTTAAACCTTGTGGAAAGTTAGGAGGTTTACAATATAATGCATCCCCACCAGTTTCTTCAACCGTTCCTTCAATACTTTCTATAGCAACAGTTGTAAAACTTGTATGTGTATGAGTCTTATTTGCTTTCTTCTCTAACTCATCGTTAACATAAGTTTTATCTGCTTTAAGGTCTAAACATACTGAAACCCATCCTGTATCGGCTTTAGTTTTTAAAATCTTCGATGTCCATTCATGATACCATTCAGCCCTTTCTATAATTTCTTTATCTTTTTCATCCACATATTCCTTATCTGCTTTCTTCTCTAACGCACTAGCCACACATTCCTCATCCGCTTTCTTTTCAAGGCTAACGTTTAAGTCTGTTATTTCAGATATAGAATGTGTATGAGTCTTTTTAGAATATTCGTTTTCAGCTCTTGTCACTTCACTTGACATTTTATTGTCAACATATGTTTTGTCTGCTAGTTCAGGATGAGTATGTTCTTTTGTTGCATAAGCATTGTTAGCTCTTTCTTCTTCTTTTGCTATTGCATCGTCTACATATTCTTTGTCAGCTTTGTTGTCAACATCTGTTTTCAAAAGAAGTTCATTTATAGGTTTCTCGTTTAAAGTTCCTTTTGTTGGATTTATACAGACAGTATTGTTCTTCTTGTCTTGAAATAGAAACTCATCTGTCATTGGGTTTAATGTCAGTTTTAAGTTTCCTTCTTTCAATGACTCAGATATCTTAGAATAGTTTGAAAAGTTTGTTGTGTTCTTATTTAGAGCTTGCATAATGAGTTGTCGGTTGTGTTGTATTTCTCTTATGGAAGCAATATCTTTCGACATTTTTATTCTAGATAAAATATGCTTTCAATAGAAAAAGAAAATTCAAGAGTTGCTACAACTAAACCATTAGATGAACTTTTTACTAATGTCGGTCAAAAGTTTGAGACAGAGACCGTAAAGCATGAAGGCTATCGTTTTGACTACCCATTAAGATGGTTAAGAGACCCATCCGTCACAAAAGCTATTGGCTTTCGTAGAATGAAGTTCATTTCAGAAGCCATACATGGTTTCCCATTTACGGTCGGTTTTGAAGTTCGATACTATAACAAAGAAAAACGTATGTATGAGAAATTTGAACAGGGAAAACTTTTACAAGTTAGTTTGCTTATAAATTTAGAAACAACTCTTCAAGCTTTTCAAGAAAAAATAAACGATATCTATATCGAATATGCAAACCAGTATAACATTGACGAAGGAGAATACCATCTCGATATTATTTATGACAGGAAAAATGCAACTGTTAAAATCAATAGAATAGAAGACCTTGGAGAAAACGTTTATATTTCTACAAAATATAACAACTTGGCATGGTATAGATTTATGAGGATGTTAAATCAGCCTGCAGCATATCCAGTACACCCAGACTTTTATGAAGTCGAAAACCCTAATGGAACATATGAAAATGTTTTCGACCAAGATGCTATTATTGTTCATGCTTCATTTTCTGGCGCCCAAAACTCTTTCTTATGCTTGGCAAATGACTTTTACGAAAAACCTACAAAGTTATACGAACCACCAAGTGGAAGTATTTCAGACTTTCAAGTATGGTTTACTACAGATGGAAGAAAAAGAATAATTCCATTATACCATGCGTTTTACTTAGAACTTAGTTTCATATACAACTACTATCGAACGGTAAAAATATAACTTTTTAATACGGTTGAGGTGTTGGATTTGGTTGCCAACTAGACTGTGGTGCAGGTTCAGGCTGTTGTATAACAGGAGCTTGTTCTTCTGGTTCAGGGTCTTTAGGTATAATACCAACGAACTGACCTACTCTTTTACCAATATTTTTGACTCCGTTCCAAATTCCTCTTCCTACGGTTTTTATTCCATTCCATATACCTCTTCCAACATTTCGAAAGAAGTTTCCAATACTACTGAAGAAACCCATTTTACTATATGTAAAAATCTAATGTCCGCCTAGTCTCTTACGTTTCCTGTTGAGTTCCATAGCATTCTTTAACTGGAGCTCATACATTCTGTTTCTCCTCTGGTAGAAAACATATTCTGGGTCAACTCCTGTGTTCGCGTCATCTGCATAAAGTTGTTTATATCCGACTTCAGGGTTTGTATAAAACTCTTTCCATCTCATATTTGCATACCATGGTGGCAAACCTAACGCAGCGTCATTTGACATGGCAGTTTGCATTTGTACATCTGTTGGCACTTGACCATAGTTTGCCATTGCAGTTTGTATTCTAACTTCATTTGGAATATTCTCTGGGTTTGGTTGTCCAGGTTGCTGTGCATTCGCTAAGTTCTGTGCGTCCATTTAATATTAGATAAAAATATCTCTTACGAGTACATATACTGAACATTTGCAGGCATTGGTTCATCTTCATATTCTCTGTACTTTTCTGCCACGTCAAAGAAATAAATGACACAATGGAAAAAACCTAAAACAATTAGTCCTATTTCAAACCACATTTACTTACTAATAAAATTTCTTTGTTATGACACTTTCTCCGGTTTATAGGACCTCTCTCATATTCTATCTTGTCATATCTAAACTCATAGTCATGTATGTCCTCTAACCATCTCATAACGGTTTCCAAACCACTTTTATCGGATGTAAAGTAAAAGCATGGACAGTTATGTAAAACGTCTAAAGTTTCTAAAGAGTCTCTCAAAGTCCAGTCTACTTGGTATTGAAAATCCCATGTGTTATAGAACGGCGGGTCCACTATAAAGAAAACATTTTCCTTGTCTTTATATTTTTCATACAACTCTGTCCAATAACATCTCACAAACTCTATACCCTCAATATATTTTTCTATGTCCTCTTTGAAAACATTTGTATAGTTAAGATATAAAACTTTTGACATAAGTGTTTCAATGTCATGAACTCTTATAGCACCACTATATAATAGTCTAGCAGATATACTATCCCAGTCTATATATTCTGCTTTTTTCAAAACCTCTCTCACAATATTTTTCTTATCTAATGGTATACGTTCCATCTTACCTATAGGTATCTTTTCTTTTAACTCTTTCAATATATTGTTTGTGTCTGGTATATGTTTGAGACGGTCCATATAGTTGTCGAAGTCATTGCATATAATCTTTGAGTCTGGGAATATTGTATGGCACAAATGGGATATATAGAAACTTCCACCGAACAAATCTACAAATGTTAGACCATTCGGTAGTTTCTTAAGTTCTCTCAATATAATATCTTTACATCTACTCTTATTTCCAAAGAACGGTAACGGTGGTTTTGTAAAATTCATTTATATATAATAATAAAAATGTTTTTACACGAAAAGTGACAGAAAAGTGACAAAACATGAAAACATATATAATTTGTGAAAAGTGAAACATTATATAATGTTTTCGACCCAGAAGAAGGCTTCTTCCCAGAAGCAATGGAGGAAGAAGAAGAGTCCTCCGAATTCACACCAGAAGACTAACAATTTTCCGAATAAAAACTTCATTTATACTAAACATCTTCAGGGCTAGAGGGCACGAAGTGCCTGGAGGCCCTCCGAATAAAAACTTCATTTATACTAAACATCTTCAGGGCTAGAGGGCGCAACGCGCCTGGAGGCCCCACTACCTTTTTTTTTTTTTTTTTTTTTTTTGAATGTTTGGAAAATCAAGAACCAAATGAAAAATGCATGGAATATGCAATTACCTCACACAACATTGATTTTGTTACATTTTTGATGAATGAGCACAAAATAGAGATCAACTTAAATTATTGCGGAAAACATAAGAATCTTGAATCATTTTTAGTTTATTTCGATCAAACTAATGATATAAACAAATGTTTTGTTTATACACCTCTATTTAATTTTCCATCCCTTTGCGAATATTTCCTATCACTTGGCGCATATATCAATGAAAAAGATAACAATGGAAGAACCGCACTTTATAATGTAGCATTGAATAATAATAAAGAAATTGCTGAATTTCTTATTTCACATGGTGCCAATATCAATGAAAAAGATAACGATGGAGAAACCGCACTTCATCATGCAGCATTGAAAAATAGTAAAAAAGCTGCTGAATTTCTTATTTCACATGGTGCGAATATCAATGAAAAAGATAACTGTGGAGCAACCGCAATTTATAATGCAGCATTGAATAATAATAAAGAAACTGCTGAATTTCTTATTTCACATGATGCAAATATCAATGAAAAACATAATAATGGAGAAACCGCCCTTCATATTGCAGCATGGTATAATGATATAAAAGCTGCTAAATTTCTTATTTCACATGGTGCCAATATCAATGAAAAAGATAACGATGGAAGAACCGCACTTTATAATGCAGAATTGAATAATAATAAAGAAACTGCTGAATTTCTTATTTCACATAGTGCCAAAAAATAATGTTCTCATATAAGATATTATTCTTTATTTTTATGGTATTTTCCAGGAAGAATTTCATTAGAAATAATAAATAGTTAATTATTAAAAGTATTTTCCTTCTTCAAAACCAGATGACAAACCACCTCAATAAGGTTATTGAAATGTCGAGCAACATCGAAACTGTAACATCTGTAATTCTGTTGAATGAGAACCGTTCTCAGTCTGGAGACTAACACCAACCTTATTTCTGATGTATAGATACGAGATTCAGGATGATATAATTTTGTACTGGCGGAACCTCCATCTTCGAGCCCAATACCGGACCAGCACTTTGTATCATTGTCACCGTAGAAATTTTCTTGGCCACAGCTTTTTAAAATTTCATTTTTATATTTTTAGTTAATTTGAACCAAAAATCGAAATTAAAGAAAGGAAAAGGGAAGAAAAGAAGAAAAAGAGAAAAAAAATGAAAAAGGGAAAAATAATTATGGGCGTGTGGAGGAATGAGGAAACTAAATATCTTTCCAGACTTTGTGAGAGAGCACGTTACATTTTCGTGGGCTGATTCGAATCTATCGGGTGGTAGTGGCCATACAATGTAGGTGTGAAGAAGAACATTGAAGTACTTGTTAGTTGATACACCTCTTGATCTAGTTATTTTGGCTTCCTTTTCAACATTGCACACCTCCTATATTAATGCAAGGAAAATAGAGGAATTCTTAAGGGTGCACTTACCATTTTTTGACATTCTCTCAAAATTTCTGACAAAAGAGGTTCAAATCGTTGTTATCATGAAGATCCGATATAATATAGGGTGTCCAAAGGTGCGTTTAGCACAGCGCTCTATATGAGACTATTAAAGGAGATATATGCTGATTATAAATATATAATAAAAAATATGAATATATGTATATGATGAGTATGTTGTATTTTGGCGCCATGCCGGGATATAAAATGAATTTTGAGACAAGAGGCGGTTTCGCGGGAAATTTTGGCGGGATTTTTTTCATTTTTTTAATGAATCATAAAGAAAACATCCTCGCTCTTGCAAAAAAATGCAAAGACTGTAAAAAAATCTACGAGACATTGGTAAAATGCTTCGGTATGGATGCTCCTAGCTATTCCACTGTAACGTATCATGTTAGGATGTATCACTTCATGAACAAAAAGGCGCCCATCATAAAAATTGACAAAAAATCGCCGGATCAAAGAAAAATCAAAGCAATTCTTCAAGCGCTAGATGAAGACCCAAGAGCATCACTCAGAAGGATAGAGGAGATGACAAAGATACCACGTACAACAGTCAGTTATTATCTGCACAATTATTTGAACTACAAACTAGCGTATACACGTTGGGTTCCGCACAACCTTAATTCAGTTCAAAAAAAATCTAGAGTCCAATCTTCGAAAGAGCTCCTCTCTATATTGGGTGCGTATCAATCCAAGAAGTTTCGCTTTTTAGCAACAGGGGACGAGTCTTGGTTTCAATATGCAACAGAAGCCAAAATCATGTGGATCCCGAAGGATGAAAATCCGCAAACATTCCCGAAGAAAAAAATTGACACACCAATGATGATGTTGTCGGTTTTTTGGGGCGTGAATGGCATCATCGCAATTGATATTCTTCAAAAACCTAATACGATGAATGCTCAGTATCTAATTGACAATGTTCTTACTCAAATTATCAATTCTGATGAGTTTGAGAAATCCAAACAACAAAAACAAAAGTTTGCAATTCATTTTGATAATTCAAGAGTTCACAAAAGTCATAAGGTAATGAATTACTTGGTGGAAAACAATGTCAAAGTTGTTCCAAACCCAATTTATTCACCTGATATTGCACCCTCTGACTTTTATTTATTCGGCACGCTAAAAAAGAGAGCTGAAGGACGCGAATTCGCGAGTCCAGATGATCTTGAAAATTTTGTAAGAGAGCAATTTGAGCAATTTTCTCATGATGATTTAAAGCGTGTCTTTCAAGCCTGGATCGATCGCTGCGAACGCGTGATTGAATCCAATGGTGATTATATTTAAATAAACTTTATATATATGTAACTTGTTTATTTCTATTCGCAGTATTCAGGTTTGTGCTAAACACACCTTTGGACACCCTATATTATGACCTATTATTGAATGTTCATATAAAAAATAAATCTGAAAAGAAAAAATCTGCTTATATTGGGGTGAAATCTAATGGTTGAGAGAATGTCAGAAAGTGGTAGGTGCACCCTTAAATAAAATTCAAAAAATATTTTATAAAAGATTTCCTTGATTGAAAGTAAAAGAAAAAAGAATAAGGATAGTAATATACAAAACATTATTTATACAGATGCGGAGGAATTAATCCTTAAGTTCAACTGGAGCTTGGTAGTTCAAATTAATTTGTCTGTATCTCTGGATTGATTTGTTGTGTGCTTTGGTGAACAACAATTCACTCCAATCCTTCCATATCCTCATATTTACCATTAAATGATTGGTTTGGTAAATTTCGTTTGATTGAGTGATTTCAACACTAGTTATGATTTTAATAGCTTCATCAAGTGATACTTTCTGCTTTCCAAACTTAGGAAGAAAGTTATTGACATAAGAAATGATTTGTTCAAATGGTTTTGTCGATTCTCCTGAAGATTTCTTAATTGAACTGATTTTCTGGATAATAAAGACTCTTGTTTTGATTGTCTCTTCTTTGTTCATGAGAACTGTGCCTGCAAATCCTTCAAGAAGCATTGTAATTTGCTCTCCTTCTAAATTCGAAGGGAAGAACTTGAAAAGTTTGTAACATGATGATACAGCGAAATTTGCTGTTGGTAACATTCTCTTGATAATGCGGCAAATTAAAGTATCCGTCTAATTTGAAGAAATATTCAAAATAAATTCCAAAAGAATGTCACAATAGTTACAGCGATGTGGTCTAAATGTACAATCAAAGCTACCCGTAAACGATTTGTTGAGTTCAAGGCAGGAGGACTCTTCCAAAAGTAAAATGTCGATTAATGACAAAATAAACGTATGAACGACAGTCAATCCGATCGATTCAAAGGTATATTGTGACAATGCCAACAATTCGTAAATAAATAAATTCGAAATTTGGTTTTGTGCAATATAAGTGATCAAATCGCGATTCCAGATGCAGCAAAGATAGCACATTGAAAGGCATTCTGATGTTAGTAACGATGTACTTGTTGATAAATGTGGAGAAAAAACAAACTTATTTGATTAATTTTTCTAAGTAATATCAAGTTCTTGAACTTATCTATAAGAAGTGGCTAATAGTTGGTTACTTTAATTGAATATTTCAAAAGAATATGAGGAGAACAAACTTAACTTGCCAATGATATCATCGAAAGAAGCATTTTTTCTCTTAATAATTAGTTTTATTGGTAATTTCTGAGAAATGGAAATAAGCTTTGTTTATAAGCTAAACTTCAAACTTTTTTTATAGTGGTGGATAAGCGTACCCTTTAAAATTTTCAAATAACTAAAAAACCAAAAGATTTTTTATTTTAGTAAGCCTTCCATACTGGTCTTCTTGGAACATATGGCTTGAAAGAGTTGGATACGGAATTGTGTGGAAGAACTTGGCCCATTGCCCACTTGACTGTTTCCTGTAATGCACATTTCCAAACAACTTCACCGACCTTATCCCATGGGAAGTTGTCATCATCTAATGACTCTTCTGCATTGACACCATTATGTGGAAGAACTTGGCTCATTGCCCACTTAACGGCTTCCTCTAATCCAACCTTCCAAACAACTTCACCGACTTTAGCCCATGGGAAGTTGTCATCATCGAGTGCCATCTCTGCATTGACGTTATTGGGGAGAACTCTCTTTAAGATTTCATCAACAACAATTCCGCCAACAATTTGGATTGCAGGAATGACGAATGCTGGGATATTGTCATCGTCAATTGTTGATTCTTCGGCATTGGCGACTCCATTGTGGAAAACTCTCGAAGCAATCTGATCGAGAACTATTGGTGTAATGAATTTTACAACTGGAATAACGAATGCTGGTATGTTGTCGTCGTCTACTGAATCTTCAGCGTTTCTGTCAAAGTGAATTTGGTCCTTCCATTTAGCAATTTCTTTGGCAATGATGTCTCTCATTTGTTTTGTGTATGGATTAATCATGTTAGCTTCTTGATGGTGTGAAGAATACTTTAATGGAAAAGGATATGGACCAATTGGTCTGCGTCTGAGAGGTTGCTGTCCGATCTTTGGGACGCGTGAGGCTCTTGATGATGCAAGAATAGCCAAGGCGAACATCTTAATTAATGATGATTTTGAATTGCTATCAAATTTCCTTGAAATGCCTGTCAGATCTGACAGATCTTATTTACAAAATACAACAAAAATTAAATGATGAAAACCGTTTTCAACAATTCTTCTAAATTGCTTGTTGTTGAATTGATTGAACAAAAAATTTTAAAAATTGTAAGTGATTCAATATTCATGACAAAGAATTTTGAAAACAGTCAAATTTTCAGAAATCAAAGCGGTTTATATATCCGATTCTTCAAAAAAAAAGAATGAAAATATTAACATCATAGCTGATAAGCATATTATTGAAATACTCAAATATTTTTTTGAATTATATTCATTTTTAAATTTGCTGATAATATGTAAAAGATTATAAACCCATAATACTTTATAATTCAAAAATATTGAAAATAAAAATTTTGTAACTAGATCCTATTTTCTATCTTCTGTTTGGGATATTCTATACTAACAATATTATTTTAATTTTAAAAAATAAAACTGAATCAGAGCAATTTGAATTTTTGAGAATCGACAATTAGTCAGATCCATTCAAAAATAAAATGTGATCTGAATCTCTGGCAAATACATTTTTTAATGACGACAAGTTGAAATTTTCAAGGAAAATGACTTCGTGATTGTAGTTTTCATGTAATCTGCAACTTAGATCCAAAAAAACTGAAACAAAATCAAAAATTTGAAATTTAATCAGTTTGTAATTTCTTATGTTGAAACATTAATATACTCAAAGAATACATAATATTTCTCATAATGTTTATACATAATATTTTTAATTTAAAAAAATATTTTTCAAATTTACTATAAATAGCCATGCCTTGTACTTGGACGCATTTATTTGTACCTTTAATTTATTTGGCACGTGAAAAATTATGGGTTTTACTCAATTTTATACAGAATTTTTTCTAAATCTGAATTATTTCTTATCAAACCGGAGTTTAAGTATTCTTATGAATAAAAAGATAATTTGTTTCATAATGTATCTCATATTGTCCATTAAAAAAAATATTATTTTTATATTTTATTCAAAACAAAAGCATTTAAAATCATCTACATTATAGAAAATGAAAGGATTCCTTCGTACATAGATATTGTGTTTTCATCATTCTTCAAATGATTAGGGAGTTGAACATAACAATCTTTTGTCAGTGATTTATATAAAGAAATTAACTGGAGAACATCAGAACTGATTTGGCTTGGATTTTCATGAAATGATTCCTTGATACTTTTGAGTTCTGTAAGAATTTTTGGAATAATAATTGATTTAAATGTATTTTGCGATATTGCGAATATACAACGAAGTAATCCATATCTCTGCTGATAGTTATTTGTAGACAGCATCATATTCAATCTTTTTAGAATGTTTTCTTTAATAAATGGATTAAATTTTGAAAAATATTGAATTATTTCTTCCAAAAATATAGATGCTTCATCTCTGATATCGAAACAATGTGCCCCATTAAAATGTTCGGGTGATATAGCAAGAGTTAATGCAATTGAAAAAAATGAATTGCTATATACTTCTTTTGCAAAGAATTCATTATGGAATAATGCTTCTGTAAATACTAGAATTCTTTCTGTCTGCAAAGAATCAAATAAATTTACCGTAATAAAATCAGTAATAAATTTGATATAAAAAGGTGCAAGAACTCTAGCATCTGCTGATTTTTCTATTTCTTCATATATGTTTTCGTTGTTATTCTCAAGGAATTGCTCTATTATACGAGTAAATTTTTCTTTACATTGATTCGAAATTGGTTCGCTGTGACGCCCTTTTATCTTGTAATTTCCAATCTTCCAATCAATTTCTTGTGGCATTATTTGATCATTCTTTTCTTCTAATTGAATTTCTGGAGAAACAGGAGTTTCGCCTTTAATTAATTGCCAATGAAACGTGAAATTTTCTTCTTCTGGCACTGAAACCGAATTTGATCTCAGAATATCATCAATACTTGTCATTTTCTCTTCAGAAAGTAATACATCTGATTGTGGAATTGGTATGTAACTAGGAATACTTGTATTTGAATATCCGTAAAGCTTTAGTTCTGCTAGAAACTCCAAAGAATCGTTAATATCTGAAATTTTAAGTTTTTTTCGACGAGATTGAAATTTAATTGTTTTTGCTACTTGGAGAATTTTCTTTAAATAGTCATTAACATCGTCTACAAGTTCTATAAGCCCTTGTTTATGTATTCTTGTAATCTCGAATTCATCTAAAATAGGTATAATTGATTCCATTGAAGCCATTCTATCATAATAATGATATGTTTGAATGAATATCAAAGCTCGTAATGGAGCATCATGCATGAGTTCCTAATAGTGAAACGTTTTTATTTAAAAATTTAAATTATAAAAAATCTTATATTATGAAGTGGAACTTGAGATACCTATTTGCATTGTAGAGAGTAGGAATATCTGAATGTTTTATCATTATGTCATTAATTAGATATCATTCCTAATAAATTTATAATTTCTAGTGAAATTAATTAGTGATTCAGCGCATATTGATCGAGTGATATCAAATTTTCAAGTATTGTATGATTGAGAGCTTAAATTATTGGAATTGTAATTTTATCAATCGTTTGGAATAGCAATTTATCAGCAAAAAATCATTTATTCACTAAGTAGATTATAATTCCATAATTTAAATGCAATATGATTTTTGAAGCAGTGAAAAAATTCGTTAGGAAAACAGAATGTCGACAGCTCCGCCGAGCTTACCAAAAAACTCAAATACAACCGGAGGGCAGTCAATCAACAATCGTGTGTCCTCTGTTGAAGCCAGGAGAATCCTTGCTGTCCTCGAGGATACGGCTTCCAGAATGGAATATGCCGTTATTCTTCCAACATTGAACGACTTCTTGGAAGGCAGAGATAACGTTCCAGAAGACGTCGAAATCGCACATAATGACTTTTTAAACCATCAACGAGCTTTAATGTCCGCAATGACTAACGAAGGCAAGCCAAAACCAGGTAGCCAGCAAGATTTTGAAGAAGAAGGCAATCTTTATAGAGAAACATCAAGAGATTTAATACGTGCAATGAGAAATCATGCAGACTATTTTGCTCCGTTATTGGCCCAGACTTCCAGCTATGGAGGAAGTACCGCTAAACTTACTGCGATGATGAAAGATCTCAATAGCATGGAATTACTTACTTTCTCCACTCCTGTTGAGAGTGATGAAAAACAGAAGCGATTAATACAAGATATTTCTGGCCGTAAAAAGGCTAACCGTGAACTCATCGAGCAGCTTAATGCTCGTGATGCTAAAGCTACTCATGACAAAGAACAACAAGTTCATGATAGAGATGAACAGTATGAATTGATTAAACAGCAATTAACTCAAGCCAAAGCAACAGAAAGCTCATTAATGCAAGATGATATCGTTCAAGAAGAAGTACAGACTCAAGAAGAATCACTTAAAACTCAATTAAATAATACAAGAGAAGATGTATCAAAGACACAGAAAAAGAACTCAGAAGAAGAAGGCAAGCAACGTCGTGCCCTTCGTAAGGATGAAGAAGCTGTTCAAGCTCTCATCAAGAAATATGATCAGGAAATGACTTCCCTGGTTAAACAGAACGAAGAAGCTGTTGAAGCAGCTGAAAAGATAGAGAAGGAATTGCATGATCTTCAAGCCGAGGCTGCACAAATCGAGAAGATTCGTGCTCCAATGGTAAACGATGAACATGTTCAGAGTGCTAACCAGCTTAAGGCAAATAAGCTTAGCCAGGATATGATTGCTGCTTCTGTTAAACTACAAATGGAAATTCGTAAATTCCTCAAGACCGCACCTAAATTCTCCAAGAAGAAAGGTAAGAAAGGAAAAGGTGGTAAGAAAGGAAAGAAATAAATGCTGTTTCTACTTATTAATGATAATACAAAACCCCATAGAATTTTTTTTTCTTCAAAATTTTTATGTAAAATAAGTTGTCACTTTTCTCTTTCAAATGAGTGATTCTGATGTTTTTGAAGGTCCAATGGAGTACAAGGTAAATCCACCAAGAAATGTAGTAACTCACACCACAAATGCTCCAAAGTATAAGCAGGATTTCACCCTTGAATCAAACTCTCGTAATGTCGAGAATATCAGCAAGATCACCCCCGAATCACAGCTTCATGAGCTGTGCCCTGTATGGAAGACTTCATTCCAGCCAACAGCAACGAATTTTTGAATGATCTTAATTAGATACGTAATACAATTTGGATTATTCGAGCCAAGATTGCGATGTAAAGATATGGTTTTTTGTTAGAATTTTACTGCTTTTACATTAATCACTAGATAATTGAAAATCAAATTTTTCATGAATTAGTCTATAATGCCTTACGTACCAACTTTGCGGATAGAAGATTCACAAAGTTTGTACATTCCATATTTATATTAAAAAGTTTGTTATTGTATAGGAGAAGAAAGAAAATTCGATCTCAAAATATAAAATTGAGCTATTTTGGATTCTTTCGTATGGAAGGGCTCTAAGAGTCCTCTCAAAGCGATAAAAGGGTGAAAACGCTTAATGTTTAAAACCTGATATTAGTCAAAATGACTTTGAATATGATAAATATCATTTTTATAATTGCTACATATAGCACTACATATTATTTTAAAATTGTGAAAAGAAAACATTTTTAGATGATTTTCTCTGAAGTTCTGAACCATATTTAAAATATCTCGATGCAATGAAATACTCCAACTTACAGGAGTTTATCGTGAATATATATCGCTTTAATTTTTCATTTGTTTTTGGGGTTTATTACACAATTTTACATACTTAGGAAATTACAAGACCTAGTGAGCCCACATTAACACAATAGCAAAAAATGATCAATCTATCAAACACTGACATACATTATCGCTTTTTAATACGAAAATAATACGAAAAAACTCAAAAAAGAAGTTATATCAAAGATTAACATATCAGTAAACAATTTATGTACGCTTTTCTGATGATTTATGAATTACCGAAATGGCTTTTTAGCGTTTGATTCTGATATAAATTTTAAAAACTCTTTATTTTCGGGAGTTATTCTTATAATTTGTAATTCTTATTTCATAGACCTAAACTCTTTATTTTCTTGTGTTATGTGTGTTAGTTTGAACCTATTCATAACATACCCCCTTTTTTGGTGAAAAAAAAACGGTTATTTTCCATCAAAAAGTGAACCAAATCCGAAATCTTTGTGTTTTCCGAATGCATATCATTTTCCATAAAGAATATTAAAGGTATTTTCTTGCCTAAAATGAAATGTTGGACTTTTAAATTTTTTAATGTCTGATCATGACATTCATCCAAAAAAATACTTTGAACTGCGAAGTGCCCACAAAGATTACATCAATTCATATACTGCATTGTATCGGCTGAAAACAGAAAAAGAAGAAGAATTAAACTCAATTTACGAAATGATCAAAACAGAATTGATTGATTCAAAGAAATATCTCCCAAAAAATATTATAAGAGATATTTTAGATATCATTCCTTTTAATAATCGCTATGCAAAGTCATATTTATATCTTGCTAAGCGTATATCTGATGATTATCAAGTAAAAGAGACCAGCAAAATTCCACTCGTATCTAACTGCCTGTTTTATAAAGAATATGGAATTACATTAGACAAATCTGAACATCTCGAAAAATATTATTTAGATGATCTCGATTTTCAGACAGAAAATACAATTTACAAGGCAATTGTTGATAATGACAAAGAAAAATTCATACAATTCATTGAAAGAGATGATTTTGATAAAGATGAAATACTTCAAAGTTTATTATATCCAAATTCTAGGGAACGATATTCATTACTTGAATTATGTTGTTATCATGGAGCAGTTGATTGTTTCAAGTTATTAAGAACGAAATTTAAATCAGATATAACTCAAAAATGTCTACAATTTTCATTTTTAGGTGGAAATCCAGAGATCATGAGTGAATGCTTTAATGATCGATCATTATTTTTTCAAAAACCAGACGAAATTTGCATGCAATATGCAATTATTTCACATAACATTGATTTTGTTACATTCTTAATGAATGAGCACAAATTAGAGATTGATTTAGAATATTGTGGAATGCACAAAAATCTCGAATTATTTTTAATTTATTTCGATCAAACGAATGATTTTAAAAAATGTTTTGTTTATTCGGCGATGTTTGGAATAACTTCCCTTTGCGAATATTTCCTTTCACATGGTGCAAAGATAAATGATAAAGATGATTTTGGAAAAACCGCTCTTCACTATGCAGCGAAATATAATAATAAAGAAGCAGCAGAACTTCTTATTTCATGCCGTGCAAAAATCAATGAAAAAGATAAAGATAAAAAAACCGCTCTTCATTATGCAGCAGAATGCAATAGTAAAGAAACAGCAGAATTTCTTATTTCACATGGTGCAAAAATCAATGAAAAAGATAAAGATAAATTAACCCCTCTTCATTATGCAGCAAGGTATAATAGAGAAGAAATAGCTGAACTTCTTATTTCACATGGTGCAAAAATCAATGAAAAAAGTAGAGAGAAAAAAATTGCTCTTCATTATGCAGCAAACTATAATAATAAAGAAATAGCAGAACTTTTTCTTTCACATGGTGCAAAAATCAATGAAAAAGATGAATATGGAAAAATGGCTCTTCATTATGCAGCAGAATGCAGTAATAAAGAAATAGCAGAACTTCTTATTTCACATGGTGCAAAAATCAACGATAAAGATAAATATGGAAGTACTGCTCTTCATTATGCAGCATTTTTAGGAAAAAAAGAAATTATAAAACTCCTTATTTCATATGGTGCAAACATCAACGAAAAAGATAGTAGTGGCGAAACAGCTCTTTTCTTGGGAGTAAAGTTTGGTAATAAAGAAATAACAGAGCTCCTTATTTCATATGGTGCAAAAATTAATGAGAAAAATATATTTGGAAAAACTGCTCTTTATCATGCAGTAGATTTACAAAAAAAAGAAATAATAAAACTCCTTATTTTAAATGGTGCAAATATCAACGAAAAATATGAAAATGGGGAAACCGTTCTTCATATTGCAGAACAAAAGCATGACAAAGAAATAGTAGAACTTCTTATTTCAAATGGGAGAGAGGGTCAAAGTTGCTATTTGTCACTTTTCCACAAGAATATAATGGGGAAAAAGTTATCATATAGTTGATCTCATTCACTGAGGTGAGAGATGCATGTAGTGTAATGGGATAAACAGTGGGCTTGCTGCTCTAAGTCCTAGGTTCGAGACACATTGACTTCATTTTTCTCTTTTTTATTGACGTAAACTATTCAATTTTTGTGTTCTCCATTCAAATTTCAGAATTTTTTTTGCAGATTTCACGCTACATTCGAAGTTACCTTTTGTAACAACCACCACTGCCTACGAAAGACGAAAGTGTGTCACGATTTCACCCGGAAATCCGACGGTTGTTTAAGAGTAAGCACTTTTGGCACCTACTCATTTCAAATGGTGCAAAATAATCAACTTATCCAGAAAAAGATATACAGTCCTTCAGTTTTATGCATAGTTATGTATGCCTCAAATGCATAATAGAATAAGATTGTTTGGTGTGTTAAAAAAATTTTCCAGATTTCCTACAGGATTACTCTATAAAATGGTATGTGTTGTCCGGAAACAATCAAATAGCTCCAATAATGTCGATTATCGAGCATTAGTTTTAAAGTAAATAGTAATATTTTATACTTAGAGATAATATTTTAAAAGCATTGTTCAGTGAATAAATCAAATATCAAAATAATTAGAAGTTGTGCTGAATGTATCTATTCAGTCATCGATATTTATCCAATTGACTTTTCATAAATCATCAAACTTGAAAGGCTGAATACTTACAATTTCTGACTATTTATAACTACTCTTTTGTTTCCTTCAAATTAATTCGATTGGAATCTCTTTTTAATACTTGTAGGTACTGCGGTTTTACTTAAAATCAATTCAAATTAATTGTTTCGATACTTCTACATAACTAATACCATTTCAATCCAGAAAAAATTATTGAATTTTGAAAACTGGCAAGTATTTTTCGGTCAAGATCAACATATGAGTATAGCGGAGAATATTTAATAAGATTCTCTTATTTTCGCCATAATTAGAAATTCAATACTTTACAAAAAAATAAATTGTAGAAATGGAATCAGCTTCAAACAATTTAACATTTTTGATCGTATCAGAGGCAATTCGAGATCTTCTTAAAAGGTTTGATGGCATGAATGACAGAGATTTACAAATTGAAACTCGCATTTTTGAATTAGGACGCAAACCAGGTTTTGCATTCGCATCTTTTATATGCATTGATGATATTAGCGTTAACACAGAAACAGAAGCAGCCAAATTCTTAGTAATAGCTGTTGCAGCAAAAATATTAGGAACAAAAGGAATAATAGAAGTCAAAGATGGTCAAATCAGCATTACATTTAAAGTAATCCCACAGCAACTAAGATGCTTAACATCAGCTGATGGTCTATTTTCTCCAGAACAATTATTCTGGTACCGTTGCTATGCAAACTTTATTGCTGGTGTATTTTCTGGTGTGCTTACTCACTTCGGTTATAAAGTTTTTGCTAGTTTCGAACCTCCAAGCATTACTGAACTTAAATTTAATTTCCAAGTTGAAAAATTAGAAGGTAATTGGACATTTTTCTCAGTTAAGCAGCACTAAAATCAATGCATACGCTCATATGAGTAATTACTTCAGACAATAATCATTTAATTGTCAGATTATATTTCCTTCAAAAATATAGTTTATTTCTATTATTAGTATATTTACAAGTATGTTGATTTATCCGATTAAATATATTTTCTTGTATAAATTCAGTTAAATTCAAATAATTTTAATTTCATTTCTCTTGACTCTAATTTTAATCAATTTAATTCATCTCATAAGTTAATAATTCCCATTTTTCGATTTTCATATAGATGTAATATAAGCCAATATCCTTTAGAAAGTTGTGTTAGAATATGAGTAAAAGAGCAAAGGAAATGAGCCATGTTTGCAGGCTAAGAATTATACAAAAGAGTTATACTTGCATTTCTCAAACAGAATTCACAAATAAACAAAAAAAAATTGATTTATACTCGGAGCACTCTCTTAATAGTTAAATGATAAATATAAAAGTAACACGTTGTATATCAATTTTGATTAATTCATACTTTGAAGATAATGACAAAAATATCACCAAGAAAACATTTTGAGTAGGAAACATCTCTCAGATTCTTCTTAACATGATATTTTCTGCTTGCCAATTTATGGACATCGGTCGGCGTCTACTGATGAAAATTTACTCGTGGTTGAATACGTTAAATTAGAAATTTGATAATAAATTTCTAATGTAAAACCTCCATTATCAGTGAATATAAAAAAATATGTATTTTAATAGAAAAGTCAAGCCCTTTTCATCGACTCATCCGCCAAGTACGTTAACAATAAACTACATTAAAGATATATATATACATAATATTTGATAACTCAACTTAGAAAAAACGTACTGGCCTTACATAAAATGAAATTTAATTTGAAAGGTTTATTCTCAGAATTACGAATATTTCAATAATCTTTATAAATGCGAGTGATCAATTTTTCTACTGTGGTGATGGTGCGTATACGAAATATTAAATTTTTCAGATTGATTTTATGGAACCTTTTTAGAAAAATTTGAAAAAAAAATTAATTCTGAATTTTTAAAATCATGGTCAACTCTGATCTCGCTAATAAGTTTATAAGCCTGATTGAAGAATCAATTGATACTGGAGATCTTAAGTTACCAAATAATGCAACAATGAATGACTTGTGTACTCTTTTTAAGGAACAATTAAAACTCGAAAATACATTGGTTGAAAACTTGCATGGAAACTTTATAGTAGTTGGAGATTTACATGGGAACTTTCAAGACCTCTACCATATTATTACAAAATATGGGCTTCCTTCTTCATCTGTTAAATACCTGTTTTTAGGCGACTACGTTGACAGAGGTGAGAAATCTCTTGAAGTATACATATATCTAATGTGTCTCAAGATTCTATATCCTAAATTTATTACATTAATTCGTGGAAATCACGAATACACCATTACTTGCAAAGAATACGGATTCTTAGACGAATGCATTTCAAGATTAGGCGTAATGCGAGGTCCTGCTGTATTCAAAATGATCAACGACACTTTCCCTTACTTACCATTAGCTGCAATTTTACCAAACAAAATCTTCTGTGTCCATGGTGGAATATCCTCCAATGTTAACACGCTTGACGACATTAGAAATATCAATCGATTTGAGATCGACACGTGGGGAAAAAGTGTAATTGCCACAGATCTTACTTGGGGAGACCCGAGATACCTTAAGAACGGTGTCATGACAGAGTCCTCAGATCGAGGCCTTGGTGAAAGATACTCATTAGCCAAAGCAAAAAGGTTCTTATACGATAATGAATTAACTTCGATTATTAGAGCCCATGAGGTCTGCGAAGGCGGCTGGGAAAAGTCACTGGTTGATTGCAAAGGAAATATCCTTTGTATGACCGTGTTTTCTGCTGCAAACTATTGCGGCCTTGAAAACCATGCATCAGTACTTGCTGTTGATAACACAGGTGGTATTTCAATTGATGTCTTCGACTCAAATGGAGATGAAATACGCTGTAACGATACTTTCGAATTTGGTCCGATTGATCTTAATCTCTTGATTCCGCCTGAGGAGGAAATTTATTTGCTTCTTTAACCATGTTATTTTTATTTGATTTTTATTTAAAAATTCTATCATTCGATAAGAATCGAAATTTTTTGACTTATTCTAGCATGTACTCTAGTTTAAATTGCTTGGGTACAAATGTTCTAGCATTTTTCCTTCTAAATATTATTCCTTGACTACATCTGTAAAATATTTCCATCTTATAACATAATAAATTGAAAAATTACCTATCTAAAATTATTAGAAATGCACTGTCTATGCTTAGTTTGGCAGTATTAAAGGATAATATTAGAATCAATAAAAACGTTATTTCAAAAAATGCGATATTTGCAAAAAATATTTAGAGTTTCATTCATCTTTTAAGCAATATATAAAGAGTCAAATGTTAAAATGGTAAAATCTGAATGAATAATTTTATTTTCAATGCAGCTCGAAAAATCGAATCTCCCATCTCTAAGAAAGGGAGGTGGAGAATCGCGAACAGCATTAGGAGCAGCAACATCATCATCTTCAATCTTCTCGCGCTCTAGGAGATCGACTTCTAGCTTGCTAAGTATGGGAAGTGATGCCCAATCTTCCGGCTCATCAATGAAAGGCAAAAATCAGTTCAAACCTGTTTCATACTTTACAGAAAAACTTATTACTCCATCAACTGATGTAGTAAGAAAGTTCCATTCAATACAACGTAAATACAAAAACTCTATTTCAGCTTTTATATCAGAAAAAGAACAGATCAAGGTATCTATGGAGCGTGAGAGAGCTCATATTGATACTTTAATTCAAGAAAACGAAGAACGTGAAGCTAATATTCGTGAAACACTTGAAGTCCTTAGATCAACAAACAAAACACAGAAAGTTAAATCAAAACCACCATCAATCGAGCAATTACGTAAGATTGCAAATACAATCATGAGGGAAGGTTTGAAATTCAAAAAACTTTCTGAAAATCAACAAAGAATTGATAAGGAAACTGTTGGTGTCGAAGTTGCTGAAGATAAATTAGATTTGAATCAAAATCTTGGAGACGATTCTTCATTCGACAAAGTTATGGAGTTGCAACGCAAGAAACTTTCATCTATTGTTTTCCAAAACGAAAACTCTAAAATGAAACTTGAAACAACAATGTCAAATCGCGATATGCTTAATCGTGTGATTTTCGACCATAATACAAATAAAGAAGCCCTTAAGCTTAAGATGGAAAACCTTACAGCTGAAGGAAAAAAGCTTGTTTCAGAATTCGAAACAAAACTTAATCATTATGCGAAAATATTAGGCGAACTCAAATGGAAGAATGAAGTAGTTAAGGAATGTAATATGATTGCAAAGCTTCCAAAGTCTTCATAAGGCCTAGAAATGAAATTTACGACCATATTTTTGTTTTTTTATGGGCTTGTTTACTATTTTCTTTAGATTTACCTAATAAATGTTTGTTTTTAATCATTCAAATTAAATTTATTATACAAATATCTGATTGGATGATAATTTTTATCTAGGAAAGCCGATTTAGTATATCTTGAACCATGAAATAGGCTTTAATTATCCTCTCCTTCTATTTCTCACTATAAAAAATTATATAAAGAAGGAAAAATTGATTTTTTTCGAAACAAAAAAGAAAATTTTTTCCGACACGGGGAGTCGAACCCCGCTCCAGCGGATGAGAACCGCTTATCCTAACCGATGAACGATGTCGGATTCTACAAAATATTATTTTTAATTTTCCTATAATACAATCTAAATCCATAACATTTTTTTTACACTAAAAGTGGCATCTCAAGATTCATATTCTCTTCTAGCAGAATTTGTCCTCGACAAGTCCCCCTAAACTGTATGATATGCTTGATTCATAATCCATGATCGATCTCAAGTGCAATGTTCAATTGTTCAAAAGATAAAACTCGGTGAAAATTTTATTCTAAATTCTCAAAATTAATGCAGTGTTCTTAGACCATAATGTAGTTTGTTAGAATCGCTAACTTTTTTTTTGGATATTCATTCAAAATCAAATTCAACCGCAATCCCGAAGACTAATCAATGATAATAAGCATCAGTTTTATGATATCTATTTTAACTACTGCCTTATTGTTTTACTTTCAAGAAATAAACCATTACATTTTTGCTAAATATTTAATTTTGATATATTTATATGAAAATATAAAGTTATTTCAGAATAATTTTGATATAATGCTAAATCCATGAGCATTCCTTGGATATAGTTCTGAATATCAAACAATATTTTAATTATATTATTATTTAAGAATATTGAAGAATAAATGAACGCTTAAAACAATGATTATGTTAAAATAGAAACTTTTTATAGTGTTAAAGTTGAGCTAATCCCTTCCATATCTGAAAAAAATTGAAATTAAATGATTTTTAACCTTAATATTCCAAAAAAATTTCAGAATTTCAAAAATCAAAATTAGAATCTTAAGAATTCATCTGATAATTCCAAAAACAAAAAAATTTTGGAAAAAATAAACAAGCTGTAACAGCTTCCTTTTCACTCACTTAGCAGTATTATGCCGAAAAGACAGAGAATAAGAAAGTTTATCATATCCATTTTCATTATGCATTCAACAAGGGATAATTTTAGCACACATTTTAAAATTCTAATGATTTTTAAGTCATCACAGCTTAATTTCATTTGCTTTTAATAATTTTAAAAATTTATCCTTTCCAATCAACAGTTCCACAACGATTCCTACCAGAAAAATAACCTATCATTGCAATGTTTAGAAGAAATCGTTAATTTGATGAAAGATATAGCAATTAGTTTATTGAATTCTTCCATCCAAATCGACCAAACATCTTCGCTTAATGGAATTCCTTCTAAAGCGTAAACATACTATCCGATAAAGAAAATACTATTAGGGAATTTATATGCAATTGTTTACTAAATAAACTATTGATTTTATTGATCATACAGTTTGACATTTCTATAGTAATGTTATTCATTTACATATCATAATGACTTTGATCATTACCCATTGATATGCAATATTTGTATACTTTTGTAGTTTGACTGATATCTCAAAATAGAAAGTAAATCAATGTAAGATCCCATACAAATTATTGCTAACATATACCTAAAGAATCTATTCAAGCATATTTTTGATCAATTCTGCTTTCATAAGCAATTTTGATCAAATAGATGAGTGTTTTTCAATTGAATTGACATATTTTTCAGAACGAAATATCATCTATACAACCTATACTTTATATATATCAGTCTAATTCCAACTTGTAAGTTTACGAAAAAATCTGTTTTGTAATTTTTCAACCGTTTTTTAATTCTTATATAAATTATGGTAAAGTTGCAATTTGAGCGAATATATTTCTATTGGCGTCAGTCAATGTTCGGGCATATTCGTCTATTATGTCAGGAGTTTCTTAAATCACAAGGATCTGATCCGACCTTTGTGATTTGGGATTCTCTTGCTAATGGAGCAGAAGGAAAAACTAGTGCTGCCCTTGCTTCGTTAGAGAAGATCTCAAATCGTATTGCAAACAGCTTAGAAATCGCAGTTGCTAAATTATGGATTCATAAAAATGCAAAAACCCCAGATTACGCATCAATTTCCGAATTAGAAACACAAATTGAATCTCTCAAATCGAATGCATCCGCATCATCCATTGTTTCAGCAGCTAGAATCCTTTGGCTTACAGGTGAATTACAACAAGCTTTTGATTTCGTCAATCCTCTTGCATCACAGCCACCACCTAATAAAGATGCTGCTGCTCTTCTTGGCTGGATCAAACTTACAGAGCAAGATAGAAATAGCGGACGCTATTTTGATATGGCGAATGCCGATGCTTCAATACAAACACAGAATGTTGATCCATTTGTCATTTATGGAAAGGCCATGTATTTCTCTACTGTGAGCAGATGGCAAGAATCTGTTTCACTTTTTGTTCAATTAGCAGGAATTGCTGAATTTCCAGAAGCTTCTCTTGAACGAGCACGCTTGTACATCGCCTCTAATAGCTGGGAATTAGCTATTGAGTCAGCACAAGAAAATCAAGGCCATTATGCAAGTGATACAGATTATTATTTCATGACAATCCTTCATAATCTTAGTCAAACAGGAAATCTCGAAGGTGCGAGAGAAAATGTTAAATTATTCTGCGATTTAGTATCTAAAATCGAAGGAGAAAACGCTGCATACATTACAAACGTTGCAGAAGCTATCTATGCTTTATGCTGGAAGGACACAACAATTATTCAGACCCTCATCAAATTATTCCCACCACTCCTTAATACAAATTCCGATAATTCGAGGTTACTTCAGATTTATGGTGAACTTTTAGTAGCTGCAAATCGACCATCCGAGGCAATACAATACTTACAGAACGCCATTGTCATGAATTCTGAGGCAGTTGGCGCATACGTCGCACTTGTTTCGGCATATATCTCTATGAAAGACATGAATGACGCATTTAGCCAACTTGAGCTTCTCAGTGCAATGCTTTCAGATGATTCTTACCATATGTCTGTCTGTACACTCAAGGAAAAGCTTAATCGCGCGAATAATCTTCCAACAAACGTTGATGAGCTTATTTCTGCCATGCATTCCCATGTTGAAATGGTCTCACAGATCTTTTCTCCACAAAGCGCTCGCCAAAACTCCGAAAAGAAGTTGCCAGTTGATTTATTCTGCGACCAAATAGTGAATATCAAGCTTCCTGACTTCGCAGAAGCCATGAATGAGGCCATGGAGCACTGCAACACCCTGGAAAAGACAGTTGCTGATCCTCATAACGGAGATGTCTGCGATTTAATTGTCAGAATGCTCGAATACGTTCCAGGATCCGTTCCTTTCTCATACTACCTTGCTGTTCTTGGCTTTGGCGAAGGCCGATTCGCCCAAGTGACCAAGGCCATCCAATTTGTTCTCAATTCCAAGTGGGGATTCAATGCATCTCAATGCCATCTTCTTCTTGCTCAAATTCGTTTGCAGATGAAGCAATTTGAAGAAGCAGATGCAGCATTGTCAAGAGCTGTTTCCTATGATTTCTCCATCAGATCATCATTGAGATACAACATGATTCTTGCCGAATTATCATTTGCAAAAGGACAATTCGACAAAGCCCTTGAAACAATTGATGCTCTCATGAAAACAGGAGAATACACATCATCAAAACCTCCTGAGAAATTGAGTATCATCATTTTCAAGTCAATGATTCTTAAATCGCAAGGAAAATCCAAGGAATCAATTGACAACATTGATGATGCATTGACAAAATTCACTTCAGAAAACGAGACCGGACAATTGAAACTTACAAAGGCATCAATTCTTGCAGACAGTGACAAAATACCTGATGCAATTTCTATTTTAGATTCATTTGATTCTAAATCACCTATGTTCACAGCAGCCAAAAAGAAACAAGCTGATATTTACCTTGAAAAACTCAATGACAAAGCTGCTTACATCAGATGTTTCAAAGCTTTGGTTGACCAATCAGAAACAAAAACAAACTTGACATTGTTAGGTGATGCATACATGACTGTCAAGAGATTTGATGATGCTGTTGGTTGTTTCCAGAGAGCAGCAGATTTAGATCTTGGAGACACAAAGGCAGCAATACATCTTGCAAGAGGTTTCATGATTGTTCACAGATACGATGACGCATTGAAAGAATACGAACGAGCTTGTGCAAATTCAGAAGGAGATAACAAAGTTTTGTTTGAAAGATGCCATACATTGTTGAAGCTCAGGTATTACGATGAAGCAGAAGAAATCGCACAGAGTACAATGGATGAAATCGATGTCGATTCAGGGGATTGGGAAAGACAATACATTTACGCGCAATTGGCTGAATTGATGTCAATTATTTCTCTCAAAAGAGATGGAGAAGAAGTATCTGCTTACATTTCTGAAGCTCTTAATGTATATGACAAATTGACATTGCAAAGCAGAGTTGATATTCCAGCAGACGCAAAACTCGAAATAAACAAGAAAGCTGCACAATTGTATATCAAATCTGCTGATGCAATTATCAACTCCGGAAAATCTCTTGATGATGCAGAAGCTTATCTAAAGAAGGCTGCTGATTTGGATACAGGTGGAAACAAAGCTCTTTTGATGCTGGCTCATCTTTATTCAGATAGCGGTCGAAAAGATGACGCAAAAGATGCATGCCAAAGATTAATCAAAGATGATCCGAAATGTGAAGAAGCTGCTATGATTTTGGCTGAAATTTCTATTACAGAGAACTTCACAGAACTTGAGAATTCATTCGAAGCAAATCCATCATTCTTCCACACATTGGTTAGACTGATTGAGATTTGTGCAAGAAAAGGAACACTCGAGAAAGTTCCTGATTATTTCACAAAATGTGATAAAAACTTACCAGGATTTAAGTTCTGCAACGGTCTCTACAATTTCTATATTGGAGAGCCAATGAAAGCAATCGAGTGCTTCCACGAAATCCGTAATGATCCGGAGTGGGGAGTTAATGCACAGTTGTATTCGTTCCACATTTACGCAAATCCACAACGTCGCTTTGTCTGGTGTGAAACTAAGCCAATTGCGACACATAACGAGATCGAAGCTGCTAATAAGATCCTGAGGAAACTCGACATGAATGATGTTGACACTGATCCATTGCGTGCAACACTCCTTCTTTCACAGAATACTCAGGATTCCATCAAAGAAGCACTGGAAATTTACAATAAAAACAATTCAGATGACATCGCAACTATCATTGGAAGATGCAGATGTTACATGTGTTTGGATCAGCAGAACAACGTAACTCGTAACTTGAATTCTATTATCCACAGCGAGCCAAACATTTCAGCAATAGCTTCATACGTAGAAGCCTTCTTAATGATGACACAAATATCTTTGAAGAGTGGCGCAATTGATGAAGCAGAAAACTATATTCAACAAGCAACCGATCTTGATAAATCGTGCGTCAAAGCTTGGGAAATGACAGCAACAATCTTTGAAAAGAAGAAAGACAATATCGGTGCTTCAGAAGCACTTTATTCTGCTTGGGAATTAACATCTAAAAATGATTGTTCTATCGGTTATAGATTGGCCTTCAATTTAATGAAGGCGCAGAACCCTGTTGAAGCTATTAAAGTTGCTAGAGTCATACTTGGAAAGCACCCTAACTTCCCTAAGATCAAAGAACAGATACTTATACCATGTTGTGCACAGATAAGACCATAAAATTTGTAAATAAATATTATTTAATTTTTTATTTATTTTTAAATGATAATATGATGAATCCTATTTTAAAATTTGACTATCATTCAAAAGGCTGCTAAATATTTCATATGTGTTTTTAGCATTCCACAAGATATTAGTTTTTTTTTAAAGGTTCATAAGATGCGAACCTACAATTGCTTGAACAAATATCAGTATTCCACAAGATATTAGTTTTTGTAAGGTTCATATGATAAATAAAAAAGAGGTATGTTTTTGCAAAATGGTCAAAACTGTTGATAAATTAATGTGGAAGAATAAATTTTGTTGATGCAATTAAATCTGAACAACCAAGCTGAGGCTCTTTTCAAGGATATCATTAGTTTGATGTTTCGTATCATCATAAGTGTTGGATGAAAATGATAGTACGTACAAAATTAATAAGGCAGCAAAGTTCATAATGAGATTCCAAAATGTTTGATACCACCATCGAAATCTTATTAGGAAGATGATAACTGGAGTTGAAAAATAACCAATACTACCTATCCAATAATAAAGGTTGATATGTATGCATACATTCAATGAAATGAAAAAAATTAAAATTTGAAGTTGGAAAACTTTTTTCTTTTCAAAATAATCCTTCATATTTGAGAAATAAAATATCATAGAAAGTATAATAAAGCTCAAAAAATTTACAATTAATATCAGATAAAAATTTAATTCATAATCAGCTATTATCTTATCAATAAAATACGAAAGAAATGGAATAGTAACATAGAACGATATTAACTTAACAAACATCATAAACATTATAACATACTCAAGAACTTTCGTTGAATAAAAAATGAATTTCGCTCCACAAACTTTTAATATCAATAAAACTCGTGAAATATCTGTTAAATAAACACAATAAGAGAATACTGGAAGCAATCGTATACTATTCTCTAATTTTGAAACGAGTAATTTGAAAAAAAATATTCTTGTATAAAAAAGTGCTGAAAAAGCAAATAAACTAATAACATTTGAATAACAAAATAATAAACCATGATGTCTTTTCTTACTTCGAATTAAATTTGTTTGATAAAACAGTAATACTCCGATATATGAAAACGGAAGCAAGCAAAAAATCATTAAAACAAATGATACAATGTTATATGCTGAATCACATGTTGGATAAGTTGAAAATTTGCATCGTTCATTCAACATTCATGAAACCCTTGTATATGGATTCGATGTCATTTTTTGAAAGATTATCAAAAATTTCTGACAAAAACGCTATATTTATCACTTTTTGCACTTGATAATCCCATTATTCAACTAAAATGACAAAAATAAATTATGGGGAAAGAATTAGCAATTTTAGGAATTGTTTTCGAAGATTTTTTTTTTCTGGAAAAGAATCATATTTTTCGCGAAAAATTGTCATTACTGAACTTCACTTTTCAGGAGCTTTACCAACATTCTCTTCTCTCAGGAACCCGCTTGCAATATCTTTTGTATATCAAAATTGAATAGGCTTCTTTTGTTTGTCTCTCTGTTCACGTGCAGATGAAGGAGGAGCTTCAACTCTAACTCTGGATGCTTCTTTATTGCGATATATCTCAGGAGTTGTCAAGATTGATTCTTCATTTTCATCTTTTTCTGTGTTATTACTCTGAACATCCATTGTTGCGATCTTTGTCTGCATTGATATAATACCAGCAATATCTGCTGAAACAACGATCGGTCCTTCATCGTAAATCGACAAAATTACCTTATCAGAGAATTTTTTCGCAATTTTCAATGCTGTTATCATATCTCCAAAGATCATCTTCTTCTTGCTATTGAATCTCGCATCTACTCTGACCTTTTCCGATTGTTTTACCTTCAATATTACTGTACTGAGATCTTCTGACATTATTTGGAAGTACCTAGATGACAAATCAATCACTGATATGCTTGATTGACTTAAAATGTTCGAAACATCTTCGAGAACGTCCGCATTACAGTCAATTACTGAGAATGCAGCCGGATCTACAGTTGTATCCATGATAATGCAAAAATTTATCTTAAATAGATTGATCCGAAATGATTTTGGAAGTCGAGATCATTATTATATCCCAATTTATTCTTAGCGTCTGAACTATATGTATAAATGATACTCCAACAATGTTGCTTTCGCCCAATAAGAGGACTTTATTTTTTTTAATATAATTTTTGATCTTCTCATCAATGTGAATTGATCCTCTCAATTTTACCTCGATTCAGTCTGCTTAATGGAACAGAACTTATACAAAATCATAAATATTAGAATTAACTTAGAATAAATTTCGTAGATGCAATTAAATCTGAACATCCATGCTGAGGCTCTTTTTAAGGATATCATCAGTTTGATTATTTGTATCTGTGCTGGATGAAAATGATAATAAATACAAAATTAATAATGCAACAAAGTTCATAATGAGTGGCCAAAATGTTAGATACCACATTCGGAATCTTGTTAAAATGATATCTGTTTTATCTTTTGAAAAAAAGATAATTGTACTCAATCTTGAAACATAATACCTAGTATTTACCCAATAATAAAGGTTGACATAAATGCATACATTCAATGGGATGAAAAAAATTAAAATTTGAAGTTGGAAAACTTTCTTCTTTTCAAAATAATCCTTCATATTTGAGAAACAAAATATCACAGAAAATATAATAAAGCTCAAAAAATTTACAATTAATATAAAATAATAAGTTAATTCTAAATGAACTATTATATTATTAATAAAGTCCGAAAGAAATGGAATAGTAACATAGAACGTTATTAACTTAACAAACATCATAAACATTATAACATACTCAAGAATTTTAGATGAGTAAAAAATGAATTTTCCTCCAAACACTTTAAAAATCGAAAAAACTCGTGAAATATCTGCAAAATAAACACAATAAGTGAATACTGGAAGCAATCGTACATTTTCCTCTAATTCTGTAACGAGTACTTTGAGACCATATATTCTTGTATAGTAAATTACTGAAGAAGCAAACAAACAAATAATGTTTGAATAACAAAACAATAAACCATGATGTCTTTTCTTACTTCGAATTAAATTTGTTTGATAAAACAGTAATACTCCGATATATGAATATGGAAGCAAGCAAAAAATCATTAAAACGAATGATACAATGTTGTATGTTGAATCGCATGTTGGATAAGACGAAAATTTGCATCGTTCATCCAACATTCCTATAACCCATGTATATGGATTCAATGACATTTTTTGAATGATTATCGTTTTAATCAGCAAAAGTGGCAAATCAATCAAAAATTTATGACAAAAACATCGTTTTTGTCACTTTCCAAATTGAATACATCGGTACATTTTCAATGTAAATTATAGTGAGGGGAAAAAAAATTACATTTTTTTATGAGTAAATTCTCTTCTTTTGTTTGTCTCTCTGTTCACGTGCAGATGAAGGAGGAGCTTCAACTCTAACTCTGGATGCTTCTTTATTGCGATATATCTCAGGAGTTGTCAAGATTGATTCTTCATTTTCATCTTTTTCTGTGTTATTACTCTGAACATCCATTGTTGCGATCTTTGTCTGCATTGATATAATACCAGCAATATCTGCTGAAACAACGATCGGTCCTTCATCGTAAATCGACAAAATTACCTTATCAGAGAATTTTTTCGCAATTTTCAATGCTGTTATCATATCTCCAAAGATCATCTTCTTCTTGCTATTGAATCTCGCATCTACTCTGACCTTTTCCGATTGTTTTACCTTCAATATTACTGTACTGAGATCTTCTGACATTATTTGGAAGTACCTAGATGACAAATCAATCACTGATATGCTTGATTGACTTAAAATGTTCGAAACATCTTCGAGAACGTCCGCATTACAGTCAATTACTGAGAATGCAGCCGGATCTACAGTTGTATCCATGATAACTGCATTGGATGCAAATATATCGAATCTATGTATTGATCCGAACTGATCTTGGAACGTAAATGTGATCTTTTCTCTTGAATTCAACGAGATCTTCATTGTATCCCAATTCATTCTTAGAATCTGAACTATGTATGTGAATGGGACTTCTACAATGATGCTTTCGCCCAATAAGAAAGAATACGAGTCAAAGAAGGCAGTATTGAAGTCGATAGAACATAAAATACTTTCAGTACTGTTTACTGTACGAAGAGAGATCTTTTCTTTCGATCCAACAAATACGAAAGACTCATTTATCTTCGACATAGCTGATAATGCTTTCCTAAACGTCGCAATCCTGTTAATATCAATAGTTGATACTTCCATTTTTAAAATTTTTTTTCCTCATTCAAGTACATCACTACGATTATTTTCTTTTCAAATTGATTTTTTTGATGTGCTTGAATAGATATAAATAATGCATTGATATATCATATTTTACTTTAATTATGCTATTTTCATTTGTTAATTAACTGCAAGATTAAAATATATTTTTATGAAAATATTTTTTTTGAGAATTATAACTTGAGATAAGCTACAAACATTAAGAATTCATGATATAATACAATTAAGATAACATTTATAACAACATTCTATAATAAATAAAAAATAATATTAAATAAAAGAAGAAATTGGATTATAAGATTGCAAGATCCTCATATAAAAGAGTTTTTTGTTGACTTCTTCAGCGCTTTCGCTTGCTTGATTTCGTTACTATCTCTTGTAAACGAAAAAGAACATTTTGCAACGCCATCTTCAACATAGTAGTTTCTTGTTAGCATTACTTCTCTCCATTCATGCCGAGTTTTGATTAATTCATTCCAATTAACAAGAGATCTGAAAGATTTATATTCCAGATTTGATGTTTTTTCTCGAAATTCATCTATTTGATCTTCCTTAAGGATAGTTTCCCAGTCCTCACTATCAGAACTTTCATCCATCCCATCGCTGAAATCTAATAAATCAAGTCCAATTGAATTCCTTTGATCCAATGGAGTATTACTAGTAGAAATCATTGCTATGCGATTTTCAAATGATTGAGCCATTGCTTCTTTGACTTGTGCGATCTTTCCTTCTTCAAATGAAATCTCAGAAGCAGCTTTTAACATTCCAAGCCTTGCTCGTGCTGTAAGATGCGATATATACCATGGGGTATGTTTAAATATGCTGATATAATGCATTATCAACGTACGCATCTCAATAGGAAAATCTTTTATCAAAGATTTCAAATTGTTTTCTGAAAAACTCGATGGCAAAGCAGATCTATCAATTCCCATATCCACGAGTCTCTTTTTAGCCTTGTAAATAGACCTCGCTTTGCATAATTCTATTGGATTTACTCCTCTTTTTGTCAAGAAAGGATCCAAAACTTTTGAATGATAAGTTGTATTTTTGATGATTACGCGACATTCGCTTGGCGTTGAAGCGTAAACGAGTTTAGGTAGTCTGTGTAATGTGCAGCTGTTTCCTGAGATGCATAAAATGAAGTCTGTCATGTTGTGAGACATGTCGTGAGGGTAAACAGCTGAAATTGCAACTTGATTTAGCAAACAAATGACTGGATCTGACTTAGGAATATTCCCAAGGAATGGCTGTTGCGATTCAGATACAATATTCATTAAAGGAATCCTTTGATCGAACTTATGACTCGTGATATTTGAATCTGATGTTAAAACTGTCAATGTTGAGCACATTCCAACGATTGGCTGTATGACAGGGTCATCGTCAATATATTCTACAAGGACAAATTCGCCTGAATCGAGTTTTAAGTCTTCATTTTTTAGAATATATTTTCCAAAATTTTTTGAAGATTGTTTTTCAGGGCAGAGCTTAACTCTTCTGTGAAATGTATAATCAACTGAAAAAAATGGATGCGGATTTAGTAGTTTTTGGTACTCGAATTGTGAAATTTCGAAATTGAATAAATTTGTTTGAGGAAAATTGGGAAAAGTAGGTGCAGGATATGATGTCATTGTTGGTCCTTTGATAGGTGCATCTCGTACATAGAATGGATTGTCTTCTTCTGTCTCTGATGGCTTTAAAATGCTTTCAAATAATCCTCGAGTAGCTTTTTTGATTTCTACATCGATTCTTCCTTTACGAAGAGAAAGAGCTGATCCTGTAAGCGAGTATTCTAGCTTTTCTTCGAGAAATGATTGTGTTGCCTGTGGAGATAATAATTTTCCTAAAGTAGATTGATTAAAAAAGAGGTCGTGTTCAACACCATTTGTATGAATATAGTTTTTCTCGTGTAATGGTTCGATTAATTTTGAATCAGGTGTAATCATATAGTCAGATTTTTTATGATTAAATTGATAAACGCTGAACTTTTTCTCTTCTTCTTGTATATTCGATTTTTTATGTGGTATACTTGGTAGTGTCGATTGATCTGGCTCGATTTTTTTATTTATGACTCGGCGAAATATTGCGTATCTTGGAACTTGAAGATCTACGAGTAAATCATTCTCTGTTGAGCTATCTTGAGTATCAGTTGCAACAATTGGTGCAAAATCACTCGAATCTAATGACTTTTTCCTTCTAGGTTTCTTTGTTTTTTTTGATTTCATAAAAATGAATCATCTTATTATCACCTATGCAACCCTAAATCCATTTACTCCCATTTTATTAGGAATGATCGGATCTAATCCAAATTGATGAATAAAAATTTTGCTAATTTTGAAATATGAAATAACTCTATACAATTTGTTTAGGAGTAAAGAAATTTGGAAACATTCCACTGCATTGTTGGGTTAAAGAAAGAAAAAAAAAATTTCAATTAAAATAATCAAACAATTTTTATGGATATATCATAAAACCAAATAGAGATCAGGTAGGGACTACCTATCTAATCAATGTATTGTGATAAAATGTACTTCGCTGACTCAACATTTTTCTCACAGGCCAAATATACATCGTATACAATTTTAATAGCACCAAATCTTGCAAAAAGTGCTGTAACTGCGGATTTTTCTTCTTCGGATATATTTTTAGGAAGAATACTTGAAACATCTCCAGGCTTTGCGTCTGGAACCTGATTTTGTCTAATGAAAGAATTTGATCTGATTCTATCTTCATGAATTTGTGGTTTTCCGTAGTTTTCATGCTCTTTTTCATATTGTTTCTTTCTATTTTCTTCTCTCTTCTTTTCATTTTCAAGAGCTTCATCTGTAAATTCCATTATAAGGGTATCACCTTCGTCAATTCCTAATTCTTTTAATGTTTTACTAGGTGAAATATCGTAATTTGTCTTATATGTTAAAAAATATCCTGACATTTGGATTTGAAAATCCTGATATACAATATTCTTGATGTCTTGTATTGTTTCGTTGCCAACAAGCTCAATAATGTAATCAACTGATAGAGGAGAATGTACAATAATCAGCATCGATAAGAATTTACAAATGTCACTTTTATATCTAAAATTTCTTTGACAATATGATATTATTTATGAATTTACTGACCAATATTGACATATTTTAATTAGATTATATTTAAGGATTCTATATTTAAGATATTAGCTCTTAAAAACATGATAGATTAATTATGATTTTCATTTGATCTTTATTTTGACCTGAAATCTATAAATATGAGGAATACATGAACAAATATTTCATTATAACATCAATTATAGATTCTCAAATCTCGAAATTTCTTTTTTTCCATCACAGAAAAATAAAAAGGATTAACATAAGTATATATATTCATAAATAAAGTCCAACCAGAAAAACCGTCGCATTTAGAAAAATCGGTCAATTGGAAAAATCTTCGGAATTGGAAATACGGCTAGATTGGAAATTCTAAATTTATTTTATTTGGCATTTAAATTGTTAATGAAGCTCTTAAAAAATTGTGTCCTGATTCGCATTCAAAATATTGAATATCTGTCTGATAAGCATTAATGGTTAGACAAATCGAAAATATGATATATTTCAAATGAAGTTTATAAATTGTTGAACTGTGAAACAGTTTTGTTCAATTTTTATAAAAATTTTAAAATTTTCAAAATCCGAAATTCTAATACGAAATCAATAGATATTAATGCATAATATATTTCGTAAAAGCAATTTATTATAGCACATGGCAACTATTGTTGCAAATGATGCTGACCATGGTGTTTATACAATCACAGGAGATGTTTCAGAAAGTCAATTTGCAAATAGTACATATCTTCGAAGCATTGATATCAAAGAATGCAGTACAATCGGCGAATACGGATTTTTCAACTGTACAAACATCACAGATGTCAAACTTCCGGATACACTCACTAAGATCGGAACCAGAGCTTTCTCAGATTGTTATCTACTCAATAAGATAACCATTCCAGATGGTGTTAGTACGATTGAAGACAAATTATTCTACTTCTGTACTTCTCTCGAAGAAGTCACTCTCCCACAAACACTCGTTACCATTGGAAACGAATCATTCAGATTTTGTACTTCTCTGAAAAATCTTTCTCTACCATCATCTCTTTCTACTATTGGTAAGAGTGCATTCTCAGGATGCACAAATCTGACATTATTCAATCAAAATCTTCCGAATAACTTACGAAATCTTGGTAACGGTGTTTTCTCAACATGTTCGAAATTAACAAATATAAAAATTCCAGATTCAATCACAGTTCTCGGTTCATATCTTTTCAATCAATGTCAATCTCTTCAATCAGTGACATTTGGACCAAGTATCACTCACATTGGTGACTATTGTTTCTTCAACTGCTACAACCTTGTATCAATTTCAAATTTACCAATCATTGAAAGTATTGGTGACAGAGCATTCGACACGTGTTCAAATCTCCGTTTCATATCTCTCTCAAACAAAATCAAATCTATTGGAGTTTCTGCATTCAAACAATGCGAGATAATCACTACTACTGATCATACATTCGATTTTTCACAACTTACAGAAATCAAAGCTGGTACATTTTCAGATGCTCTTCATGATTATTACACTATTCAAATAATTCTTTCTGATAAATGCAAAAAGATTGGAGATTATGCATTTTATATGGATAAAGTATATATTAATCTTCAATATGTAGAATATATTGGAGATTACGCATTTTACAAAACTAGTGCACCAGAATTCTCTGATTCGATTAAATATATTGGAAATAGTGCCTTTTATGGTTGTGGTTTTCGTTTTTTAAATTTTCCACAATACTTGACAAACATTTCGTCTTTTGCTTTTGCTTATGGACATTGTGATGAATCCATCAATTTAAATATTCCAAATTGTGTGACTCATATATATGGAAACGCTTTTCAAGGATGGACTTTTGACCAAGTAATTATTCCGAGTTCAGTTGAATATATTGACAAAAATGCATTTCTACAAACAATGATAAATTCTTTTCATTTCGAAAATGGATGTAAAAAGTTAGGAAAATATTGTTTTGCTAAATCTGGTATAATTTCAATGGTCCTTCCTGATTCTTTATTAATTATCAACGAATCTGTTTTTTATCAAACAAAATTAGGGAGTATTTCACTTCCGAAAAATCTTGAAAAAATTTGTAAATTCGCATTTATTTTTGAAAGATTTGATATATGGTATCAATTTAGTAGTACTCTATCAATTATTTTCCCTGAAAGCTTGAGAATAATTGAAGAAAAAGCATTTTATAGGCATGTCTATCTTAGAAGTATTACATTTTTAAGTAGCAATATAACAATTGGAGACTACGCATTTTATGGTATAGCAAATGATGATGAAAATGGTAATAACTATCCTGATATATATAATTGGCATTCATATGATTATTTAGATCCAAAAGAATATGTAAACAGAATTGATGAACAATTGAAGGAATATGCTGCAAATGTTGATTTTTGCCAAACATATTCAGAAGGAGAAAAAGTAAAGATTGGTAAAAATGCATTTCTACGTGCTTGGATCAATATAAAATTCCCTCCAAACATGGATACAATAAGTGATTATTGTTTCACGTCTGCGTTCATTTTCGATCTTGAAATTCCAAACACAATAACAAAAATTGGAGATTATGCATTTTCGAGAGCTGTTTTTAAACCATTCTCAACAAATAACTTAAACAGGAATTTAAAATTTGGAACAAGTACATTTGCATACACAATTATTAATAATTTCACACTTCCATCAGGAATATCGTTTGTTAATCCTGGTTTGTTCTCATCTTGTCAATGCCTGAAATCAATTCAAATCCCTCATGTTGATTACATTGGTAAATATGCTTTTTTCAACTGTAGCAGCTTAGAACATGTTTACATAAATTATGGTTGCAAAGAGATTGGTGAATTTGCATTTTCACAGAGTGGAATCAGTTCAATCACATTCCCTGATTCAATAACAAAAATTGGAAACAATTCATTTTCACATTGTATCAATCTCAAGATATTCTCAGTCCCAGAGAATTTGTTATCTGTTCAATATCAGACATTCGCAAACTGCACTAATATAACATCAATTGATCTACATCATGTATCATCAATAAGTTCACTTGCATTCTATCATTGTATTAATTTGATCAAGATTATCATTCCTCGAAATTGTAAAATTGTTGATAGTTATGCATTCAGTGACTGTTCGAGTCTTTGTTCTGTCATCATTTGTCAGAATGTCACAACAAGTCCTTTCTCATTCTCAAACTGTACAAATCTTAATTTGATTGTCTTCAAAGACACATCAACAATCAAAAACTACACATTCACTAACTGCACAAATATCCAACACATTGTGTTAAATCATTCAGTTGGTTTTGACGAATTTCCATTTGATGAATCTCTTCCAAAACAAAATTGATTTTTATTACATATCATCTCAGTCTTTGTATTCACCAAATATTAGAATTTATATAAAATCCGTAACAACACTCGATAATTTTATGAATCCAACATTCCTTGGTTTTAAACCAACAAAAGTTTCAAAAACAACAATGCATGAAACAATAAATGGGTTATATTGTGCTCCTGAAACTGATTTTCTAGATGATTATGTTTCAGAAGATAAAAGAACAATAACGGCAGAAATCATTCCTGTGAAACATAAGATCCACTTTGATGTTAATAATGGCTTTGTTGTCTACAAAGTTTCATTATTTAATGCACTATCATCAGTCAAAATATTCCTTAATCTAAATAAAAATACATAATATTTCAATTTTTAAAGATGCTTTTAACACTTAAATCTTTTCAACTAAAAAATTTAAGGATGCACCTACATATCTTGATATTTAGTCTATTTCATCGTCAAATAATTTTTTTTCTCTAAGTCTTTTTTTTTCCGATTCAAGCAATTCAGATGCAATAGTGTGAAAATACCATCCTTTGTTGGGACAAAGTTAAATTACTTTGTGAAATCACATCCATACAGATGAAGGATATATATGTATATACGACATTCTTTGGTTTTATACAAGCGAAGGTTTCAAATCCATCAATGAATGAAGCAGTATTTGATTTCCATTTCTTGGTAAATCAAAATAAATATAAAATTATCTAATTACTTTAGTAAGCATTTATATCCCCCATTTGATCCTAAAAGCAATCTGCCAGCTAAAACACTGCTATTTCAACTCAAAAAATGGCAAATCTGGTAGTTTTGGGAATCGCCACTATCTAAAATGAGCATTTTTTTGACACTGGAAATGAATTGGTTCAAGAGTGAGGTTGATTCTAGACTTCAATATTACGTGCTTGCTCATATGGTTATATGAAAAATAAATTAATAAATCATATTTATATATAAAATCAAATTGATATATCGATTTAATATAGACCTATATAGCGCATTCTATCGGCGTGCATCTGCGCTGCGCGCCGATATGTGATGAGAAATGAACGGAGCGCTTATCAAAGAGGGGAATATCGATAAAAACACAACAATAAAACTTTACAGAATGCCACTTCCGAGAGCAGTATTTAATACTATTCCAATTTTGCTTCCTTTTGAATCAGTAAATGCAGAAAAAAATTATAATTTGAATTCAATTCTTTCAATTCGTCCAAATAATAAAGCAATTGTTGCTGGAATTCCTTCAATATTTCTCACTCATATTCTATTACAGGATAATCAGTATGATTTATTCGATATCAATATTTCATGTCTTCCAAATTCTTCTATTATGCTGATAGATCAACCATCGCCTCAAAAGAAATCCAGTTTTTCAATGACTTTTCGCGAAGGTCCAAATAAACTCGGATTTTTCGTTCCATTTCAGTTAATTTCATCAAATTTCAATGAACAGATTATATTTGTAGGATCTGTATATAATGAAGGCAAATCTCGTAGTTTTACAGGCGTTTTTGACTTAAATGTACTTACACCTTTCAGTATGGTAACAATGACAGAAGCAATAAACGATACAAACCTTCTTCTTAAAGTAACCATTACAAATAATGCAGAATTCGAACTCAGAGATATTTATTTAGAAATTACTCCAACTCCTAACTTTATTTTCAAAGAATCGTGTCTAAAGATAGCTGACGTGATGGAGCCAAATGGTATCAACTCATCTGTCTTCGAAATCGAAAGACAAGGAAATGAAATTTTAAATGCAACAGAAATAGGAAATCTCAAGGTTAAATTCATGTTAAATAGTTCTAAATACGAATACAATCATTTTACTCCTATTATTACTGAAGCAATTAGTAAAAGAAATTCTCCAATTTTATTTAAATGGATGAACTATGACGATGTCCAATCAGTCCTCCAAGGATTCACAGTAGACCTTGAAGTAACAAATTCTTGCAATGAAGAAAGGTCTTTTGTCATTCAAATCGCTACAGATACAACAAATCTTATGCCAAGCGGTATTTCTTCGTTTAACGTTGAGAAACTTCCTTCCAAAGCAAAAACAACTCTCCAAGTCAATCTTATGGCATTAAAACGCGGATTTTTCGTATTTCCGAGAATATTTGTTCAAGGGCTTCCTGAAGGAGATTTTACTGTAGAAATACAAAATGGAATCATGGCAACAGACTAAATTCCATATTTTTTTCAAGCAAATTTTTAAATTAAAAATTTGCATTTTTATTTTTGTTTTGTTAGCAAATAAACTATCTTATATACTTTCAGTACTAGTACATATCAACAAAATTCAGCATTTTATCATTAAAAAGGAAAATTTGCAACTATTTAACTTATTTTTGATTTTTTAAAGGGAATTGGATATTTCATATACTTTCAATACTAGTAAGTTTCAATAAATAACAACATTTTAATGATACAAAAGGGAAATATACGCAATTTTTAATATTTTTGTTTTGCTAGGGAATTAACTATCTTAGATACTTTAAATCCTAGTAAATTACAATAAATAACAACATTTTTATAATAACAAAAAACAATATAAAAAATAAAAATAATATAATAAGTTAATCAAGAGAAACTACAGTGGCAAAATCTACAATTTGAGGTGAGATCTTGACCATTGTATTTGAATGAATATACATTTTTGTTCCTTCCTTCCATTTCTTTGTATCGATGCTTTGAAGGAATTTACTCAAAGCTAATAGTTGTTCAGCATTATCTGTGAACAAAGACACAACAAATGTTTCACTTTTTTCAATGATTTCATTCAATTTTTGTAACTCAATTTTGGCATCTGTTTCTTTTGTAATGAACAAATAGTTGTTGCATGGTATTTTGAGGCTTGTGAAGAATATAGCTGATGTAGCTAAGTTCTCACAATGTGCTAATACAACTGAAGACCATTGTGCAGCATCTTTTGGCTCAAGAGTTTTGATTGTTTTCATTTCAACAAATTTATTTCTGTGTTTCTTAGCCATTGTTGATGCGACACAAGAAATGAAGTGCTCAAGGACATCATTTGCTTTATCCCAATGCATAAGAATCTCATCGAACTTATGGAGTGGAAATACATAAACAGGAGCAATTTTAATTGCTGATTGTAATTGGCCGCAAAATTCAACGATTTTCCCTGATTTTTCGCGTACCCAAGGTTGACTGTCCAAAGCGTGTTCTCCAACAACTTTTGCGTCTCTTACAGCTGTTTCTGCGTTTGTTAGTAGCTCGGCTTGTAGTTCTGGATCTCTTAATAAGTCCGCACGTGTTGAATGTATCTCTTTGAGCTGAGTAAACAATGATTGCAATGATAAAAACAAATTTTCTCTTTGTTGAATTACAGAAATTTCAGCTGTTTTGAGTTTTTCTGCAATTTCAAATATCGATTTATCTTTTGCAAGCATTGATTCTATGTGTGCTTTCTCCATTTCCAGTTCGGCAATGAAGCTCATCATAGGAGGCATCCATTCTGGAGGTCTGTCAACCAACAAAATTGCTTTAAAGTCTTCATCAATTGTTACAGAACGAACTCCTAAAATTGCTGATGTTACGGCTTTGTTTGCAACAGCGCAGAAGAACTGAGAATCAACTAATCTATCAGCATGTTTGATAACAATTATTGATCCGTCTTCTGCAGCTCTCATTATCTTAAACTCCAAGTCTTCATCGCCACTTTCAGCGTAAGAAATTGTTAAATGCGAAATACATTCACTTGGTTTTCCATTTTTGTATCCCATGACAAGTTCTGCAACTCCATATGGATCGTAAACAGAGATGATCCTATCTCCTGCAAGAATGGAAGCGCAAATAGGATCAGTTGTGTTGATAATTGTTTTTACATCGACAAAGAATTTCGTATCGAAAAAGTTTGAAGTCATCATTTCTTCGAAATCATTGTCAACTTGTTTGAGAGAAACAGGATCGAACAAAGGTCTTATTATCAAATCATAGACAGCTTTAAGGACAAAGTTCTCTGAGTTCTTGCCTGTTTCTTTCTCTCCGACTCTGAAATTGTTCAAAGAATCCTTCAATGAAGGGAAAACTTTTGTAAGTTTTTTAGCAATACTTGCAAACAAAGTTATGTTTTGTAACAATCTCTCTTCGTTGTTTATCTTATCAGTTAAATCCTTAAGAGACTTCTGTAATGCTTCTTCATCATCTTTAGCTTTATTTAGTCTTTCCTTCAAGTTATCAATGACTTCTTCTTTTCGACTTTTCTGCAACAAAATTTCTGACATTTTTGGTGTCACGTTTGAGTTGAAATTTGTTCTTTTTGTATGCATATGAATTGCTTTTAGCCATAAAGCGAAGTTATAGCAAGGAGAGTTAGTAGGAAACAATGATTCGTTAACTTTCTGCATCGCGACATCGAATTTTTCGACGTTTTCTCGTGGAATATCATTTGGATTAAAAATAGAAATTGCGTTTGGAATTCTTCCAGATTTTAGAATTCCTCTTGCTTCAGGCCAGAAACCATCATTTGTACGAGGAGATAAACCAATCAATGTACAATAAGCAGCGAACAAATTCTGTATGTTTTCACTTGGATACTGTTGAATATAGAGTTTATATTGTTCATCTGCATTAAATGATTTTTGAGCTTTTCTTTGTGCTTTCTTATAAGCATCGATTGTTTTTGATCCATCTTTTTCCATGTAACTCATTAACTGGTTGTTATTCTCGCAAATTGTTTGGTATTCACTTTCTGCTTTTGCGAGTTCTCCTGTGTAATTGGCAACAACTTGATGAGCATTGTTCACAGCGTTTTCTGCAGATTTCTTCATTGTTTGATCGAGTTTTATTTGTTCTGTCAAATCATGAATTCTTCCTTCGAAATCTTTCAATGCATTTTCAATTGATTCGATCACAGTCATTACTTCGCTCAAGAAAGTATGTCTTTGCTCAATGAAAGATTTCAATTTGTTCGTCAAATAATTGTAACATTGTGTAACACGAGGAAATTGAGCAATAACAGGAACCAATGAGTTTTTATTATGAACAGAAACAACTTTTAATAATTTGTTGATTCTTTGGTCAGTTGTTTCTGTCAATGTATTGTGTTTATCCCAAATAGAGAAGTGGCTTCTACAGTTATAAGGAATTTCTTCCAAACTCTGAACACTGAACACAAAATGAGTATTAACAAACATGTTAAATTTGTAATGAGCGAAATCATCTTGTGAAATTCTTGTTCCATTTTTGTTTTTAGTTTCAGGTTCATTTGGTCTTGCGAGATTAGAATAAGGGAAAGTGTTTCCAATACCACTTTCAGGGATATACTGATCATTGTTTTTAATCAATTGCAAGTAATTTAATTGGTTCGATTTCAATCCATTACTTAATAAATTGATTAAAGCAGGATCAGGTTTTCTACAATAAACAACAGTTAATTGACTTGAAACAATAGAATCATGTAACAAAGATGGTAATTGCTGAACAGAATTATATATAATAAACTTAGCGGATAAAGCAGAAGACATGAATTTTGTGATTGTTTCATAATCAACAATCAAATCATTAACAACAATTGCATTTGTTCTTGGCATGAAGAAAGTATTCAACAAGAACTCACAATAGTTATACATTACAGGAGAAGTTGTTAATTTATGAGCGAAAATACAAATCGCTGGAACTAATGATCGCTCAAATTGGTCTTGTAAAGTATTAGAAACATATCTAAATGTTTTCTGACCAGTTTGTTGAACATTTATCAAGTCATAAACAAAGTTCTTCGAAGGAACTCTCATTTCAGCATGTGGAGCAATATCCAACAATCTTTGGAACCAAAAGTCAGAGATATTCGTGTTTCTGTTGAAATCTAACATTTCTACAGATCTTATCACTGTGAAAAATGTTCTTAAGAATTCAGGACCAACTTTTTTCACTGTGTAAAGTAATTCAACAACACCTCTTGACATTGTTTGCATTGTTTGTTGTAGATAAGCTTGAGGAACATTGTTTGAAACCATGATTCTCATCATTGTCTCGTAAGCGATGAATTTAAGACATTCATCATCATATGGTTGGATTCTAAATGGGAAACAACATGTTAAAATAGGATAAGAAGCTTCTTCCATGACAATAATGAAGTAAATCTTTGAAAAAGAAATAACCTCATTACTAATAATTGCACAACCAGTTTTGATCATTGAAACAATTGTTCCATACATCTCTCCATCGTTTTTCATTGGATCAACAACAACAATGATGTTTGAAGCAACTTTTGGTTCAACAACACCATCAACGGAAGTGTTGCAAAACATCATTAAACATTGTAAAAATTGTTCAGGAGTTGTGTTGTAGCCATCAATTCTTACAACTTGATATTTCGGTCGTAAAAAGAATTGTGACTCAACGTAATCAACAATAGTAGTTTTTCCTGATGAAGGAGGTCCAATAACTGCAACATGCAACCCGGATTCGATTATTTTAGGAATAATTTCGATTCCGTGAATGAATTGCGGTGTTGGAATATTTGTTAAAGAAATTGGACCATTTACATCTCTGTTGTATTGAGTATGTAAACTATTATCGAATTGGTAGATCCTTGTGTTGTTATAAACACTTGCCAAAGTAAATTGGTCTTGTGATTTCGAGGCTGTCAAGTCAAAGAAAGGAGTAGTATGAGATAAATTTGGAACTTTCTCAATGATGAAATTGGAATATTCATTCCACATGTTTTGTTGTGTAAATGAAAATGTATTTGACCAAAAAGCACAATAAGCAATTAAATTATTAATTGCATTTGGTTTTTGTGGTGGTAATTTCGATAGATGAGCTGAAAACAAGTTAAAGAATATCGAAACTTGTAAATTAGTTGAAATCAAATTCGTCACGAAATCTTTGATGTATTCAGCTATTTCAGAATCCAATGTGAAAGTGGCATTGGCCATCCAATAGGCCATTAGCTCTCCTGATTTAACTAATGGCATATTGAATGAAATGATTGGAATTGCTATCAATTCTGGTGTCGTCATTGGTGTCATCACTTCAAAAATCAAAATTGCGTTTTCAGGAATTCTCAACAAATTCTGTTGTCCTTCACAGAGACTTGAACCGAAAGCCAATGCAGAAACATGAGCAAGGAATGATCTATCAAATTGTGTTGTTACATGGAAAATTGTTTTATTCGAATCCATCCTTGTAAATGTTTCATTTATTGTCTTTATCCAATTAGAAGAACTCAAAGCAACTGCTGTATATTTACATCCTAAAGCTTTTGCAGCAGCCATTATACATGTTGATGTTCCAGAGTATTGTTGTCCTTTGACTAAAATCATCTTCTTTCCTTGATTCAAAGTATACATTATTCTATGAACTCCGTTCAAGAAATCTGTTGTTGATATCAATGATTTAATTACAGGAATGAAAACATTTTCATCGATATCAATTGTTTCATCGATTGTATCTTTAACAATCTCATAAACATTATCAGGAATAATCGATGCGAAAGCAGCCATGAAATTCAAATCAAAAGCAACTTTTTCTGCATGTAATTGTTCTTCAATGTATTTCAACACTGAATAAGGATGTATATAATTAGTAAGTGTTGTTGCAGCGAAATTAATTGCTTCAGGTTGATAAGGATACAATGATTGTCCTGCCATTAGAACATGTTGTTTAAATGCATCGCTTGAGATAGTAAACAAAACTTTTCCGACACTTAAAATTGGTAAAATGTCTCGTGTTGTTACAGTCAAGAAGAAAGGTTGTTTAACTAACATCGCGAGCTCAAACATCTGTTCATTTGTAAGTAATTCCGTATCAGTGAAACATGTCCAAATATCAATAGAATTAAGCATTTGTATAATAGAACTTAATCTTTCAATAGTTGTTGTCATTGTCGCGTGAATTATCAAACAAAATCTTCCACAAATATATGATAATTGTTGGCAGATCAAAGATGATGTTGAATACATTTCAGAAGCGATTAAAAGAGGTTCATTTGACTTGTTTGATATCAAATCAGCTATTATAGCTAATGATATCTTCGTGAAAATGATGGAATTCGCTTTAGTAATTTGGAATTTGTATTCTAATGATCTGTCACCGAAACAAGTGAAAACTTTTTCGCTTTCGTCAATTTTTGCAGAAGGATAAATTGCATTTTCACTTGATAAACTCTCTTTAAGAACTTCTAATGTCCTTCTCTTCTCGAAACACATGTTACTTGTGTTGATATCATAGAAAGGATCCATTAATTGTCTTAATATCAACAATTGAACAGGAATTTTTGATGGATCAATGTTTTCTTTGTAATATTTCATGAACAAAGACTTTAATGATGAAGATATCTCTTGTTCTAGTTTAGGAATGATTGATATGATATCTCCTTTAGTACTAACACCGTTTAAAAGAACGATTTCATCTTCAAAATCCAATTTAAATTTGACAATTTTGTTTTTATCACAAAAAACTTCTGAAATTCCTGGAAAAATTGTTGGAATTATATCAACTTTTGTTTGCAAATCATCAGAGAAAACATGGATAATCTTTGAGTCAGGAACTAACAGTAATCTTGGTATTTTCTCTCTGAACTTTGTTAAAGCACTGATAAACGCTTCTTGAACTGATTTCAACAGATTTTTAATTTGTCTTAAATTATGCAAACTCATTTCTTTTTCAGAATATTGTAAAATCAAAGGATTTTGTTTGAGTTCTTTAATGATTTCTGAAAAAGAACTTGCTGCTTTGTTGAAATCAGTGACATCAACTTCAACTCCAGAAACATTTTGCACTGGTTTCAGTTGTTTCAATAAAATTTGTATAGAAGAAATGAATTCAACAGTCATTGTTATATGAGTGATTTGTTCAATGATACTTAACGCCTTCTTTCTCTTCTTCTCTTCAATGTTTTCTGTAGCAGAAATCATCATCATTTCATTATTTGTTGATCTGCAATCAGACAAAATATTAGAGATATTAACAATTTCATCTTTCTTGAATTCAACTTGACATGTTTTGATGTAAGTTTGAGCATTGATGATCTCGAAATCTGCTTTATCTTCAAGTTTAGCTTGTTTGTAGAGTTTATCAATATCTTCCAATTTCTCAGATATTTTGATGGAAATAAGATAACCCATTGTCTTTGACTCGAAATCTTTGTCACCAATTATATTTACAATGTCATCTCTGTGATTTTGTAAAAGTTTTGGTGTCAATGATTGAGTACAAGCTTTGAAGATAGGAATAATATTTTCTATATCATTTTTAGTAGAAATCAACAACCTCAACGAATTCTTATCTTTCTTAAATGATGCTGTTAACGATCTCAGTTGTTTCAACCATTTATCACATGTCAATTTCGCTTCATTAAAATCAATAGTTATAATTACTGATTTTTGCCATTTTTCAATTTGATCTTGTGAAGTTTTTACAATTGACCAAAGTATAACTCTTGGAGAAGCGAATTTCGTGAAATCATATTCCATGAATTCTTCATGTAATTGTTCTAATTGCACCAATTTTTCATTCAAATGTCTTACAAATTCACGATTTTGCTGTTGAATATTTGTATCTTGAGTATTTTTGATGATTTCCAATCTTGTATTTATATCTTCTTTGTGTTGTTTGATCTGTTGTTCATTGTTATTTAGGTATTCTTCTCTTGTTTCTAATAACAATGACAAGGCTTTTCCTAATTCGATATCTGTCAAAATTGGCCACATCATCATATTCATTTCTTTCGAAAGATCTCTGTAATAATGTCCATAAGACAAACTAAACAATAAATCACCAAGTTCATTAATATGTTTGGCTTCTTCTTCGAGTTTCTGTCGGACTTTAATTGTCCCAAAAACAGTGGTTTTCAACATAGCCCATTCTTTTGCCAAACTTGGTTTTCTCTTCAAATCATTTGTTAAATCTGTATAATCTTGATGCAATTTCTCAAGTCTGTCTTCGTATTCATGCTGTATTTTACTAAGAACAGTCTCTCTGTTGTAATTAACAGAGTCAATGATTTTTGTCCTCAATGTTGTGAAAATTAATCGAGAAAAGCCAAGCCAAACTTCACTGGGATAATTCATCAAAAAAGTGTCTTTGTCTTTTTGTATTTTTTGGAGATAATCGTAGGTTTCTTCTACAGGAACAATTGTTAAGTTAGTGAAATAAGATACAGCTCGATCTGCATACGCCAATAATGTTGGAAAACAATTGTAAATTTTTTGAATTTCGGACGATAAAATTGTCAAAAAAATTTCAGTTGTTTTCTCAATTATTGGACAAACTTCTTCTTGTTTGAAGTTGTTCATTGGTGGAATGAACGATGTAAGCTCAAAGTCAATACAGAAGCCTTCGTACTTCGATGTTGACAAAGATCTCGCAATTTCGACATTTGTACGATCAAAAATCATTCTGAGAGGATTGACAAGGTTTTTGAGCTCTTCATCTAACACTTTGAAATAATCCATGATCAGGATTTTGATGTCATCTCTCTTTGTGTGTAATTCAATGTTCAAAAACGGTTTTTTAGTGGAAATTGATTTGTCTGATACAGATTGATCGATTGTTGTGAAGCCATCGATTGTTATTTCATGTGGCTGTGTATAATTTATCTGGTAATTGATAAGTTCTCGATAAAAATTCAAATTAAATTCAATTAAGTCACGAGCAAAGCAACTCATGAGGATTTTGAGGTAGATCTTGAATTTGTAGAAGTGTGTGTTATCTGCTGTGTTAAAGAATTGAAGAGGCGGATGATTTTTTGGAAGATTTTGAAATTTTTCGTTGTCAAAAGTTTCCAATTCATCTCCACATAATCTATTAATTGTACTTGCAATAGTATCTATCAAATTATCAAGTTTTTGCCTGATTTCATTCTTGTATGTTCCAATATTTTCTCTCCATTCTGTCATATCGTATTGTTTGTTCTCAAAGAACTTTATAACATAATCCATCAGCTGGTTTTGCATTACATAGATTAAAGAATAAACTTTTTGGCAGATTTGATAATAATTTTGGCTGGAAACTAAATTTACTGAGCTATTAATAGATTTGAGAGACTTAGAATACGATGTGTCTAATATAAATGGATCTTCCAGCTTTGTTGGAGAATAACAATTTATATCTCCTCCAATTTTATTGATAAGTTCCAATAAATCGTCTTGTTGATGAAGTTTGGCTTGTCCTCTAAATATTAACATCTTCTGAACTCTTCCTATTTCACTTTTTGCTTCATCTGTCAAAGTATTTTTGAAAGATGTATTGAGGAAGTCCAAAAGATCAGGTGGATCAGGTATAGAGTCAAGGAAGCAGTCCGTAATCATCAATTTTTCGAAGTCCTCGCGACTTTTAATTGTTAATTTTTCTCGATATTGTAAAACTTCTGGACTTTCATCAATAAAGCGTATTTGAAAGCGAGACAAGTTTCTTATAAGTGGTTTTTCATCAAATGTCTCGATCTCATAGAGAAATTGCTCATTATCAAAGGAATTTATCCGGCAAAGATGCCATTCGTATTTATTTGCATTTCCCATAATGCAGGCACTGCCAACAGCTGGAGAACCATGCGTTCTAAGCTCCCATTCTGATTCTGACATACCATACTCACAGTCAAAATAATCAAGAGGAAATAAGTGTTTTGCTTCTTCGTTTTCATCAAATTTGAGAGGCGCAACAAGTTTGTGCATTCTGTTAGTAGCGTTTAGTAAACTCTCCTCAAATTGTGTATAATTTAATATTGTTCGAGAGTTCCAAGGCAAAGGCGCATTTTCATTTGTGTCTAATGGTAAATTTGGCATCGGCTGAATCTCTGTAGATCGATATCTTGGTGAATTTCGTGGTGATAATTTCATTGTTCTTGGATCTGGCGTGTGTATTTTAATTAATGAGTTTCGAAGTGATTGAATTGTATTTGTATCCTTCCTTCGAGGATTGTACCCATATCCTTCTGGTGCTGTAGGTGGTTTTAAGTCTAATGGACCTCGATTTATACCTAAAAGTTTAGAAATAGTGACTCTCTGATTTAAAGTTTTTTTTGTTCGTCCCTGTACTTCGCTTTGTAGCTTGAGAAATGCTTCTTCAAAGCGTTGTTTTTGGGATTTCATTGTAACAAATCAAGATTTTCGTTTGAAAATTTCGTCAAAAAAATTTTTATATTTACAATTGAGCTTAACATTACTGGTTTAAATGGGCATCTTTTGCGAGATGAAAATTAAATAATTCAAAATCCGTATTCATATACAATATGAATATCTATCCTCTATTTGAAGGATTTACTTGCATTGATGAACACTCACATCTCTGATTCTTAAGTGAAGCTCATGCTAGTATATATTTTCATGATAGATTTGTTCAATAAAAACTAAATTTTATTGTTTTTTTTTCACAGAATCTCATATATTATAGATTATCGGTCAAGTACCATTTGTAACCAGTTGTGTTGTTATCATTGATATGATTTTTATGAATCAATAATTTTCAGCAATAATCTGAATATTTTGTGATATACAGCAAGTTGAGAATGTTGTAAACAGAAATTCATCAAAAGTGACATCTCAGAAAAGCTAAAATATTGAATTTTTGGAACTTTTGATAGAGCACGTTTGTAAATATTAATTAAAGTAAATGTATATTTTGTAAAGATTCTTTTTAATAAAAAAATAAAATTTTGAAGAAGAACACAAAATCTTCTGAAAAATAATATCACATAAACTCATATTATTTTCTAATATATAACTATTTTATATAAAAATCAAATTCAATGATCTTAAAAGCGAAGGATAAACCACAAAATTTACGAATATAATGAGTGGGAATATAATGCTTATCTATCATAAAACCATATGAAATATTAATTTTTGCTTTACGCCTAATTTTTGACGACAATTAGCAAAAAATGTTAAATGTTAACACTCAGTCCATTTGAATATGAAAAATAAAATTGACTTTGATTAAATGTTTTTATTTATCATGCAATTCTTCTTGCGACCAAAGATTTGAATAAAATTTCAAAAAATAAGATAGCTTAAAAAATAATATACGGTAGTGTTTACTAATAGATGAATAGTATATAAATTCTATTAAAATAAGGGTTTCGTTTTGCGAAAAAAACGTACAATACGCAATTTCGCTAAAAAAACATTTAGCTAGCAATTTCGACCTTTGACTCCACTCAAGACGTCACTTTTTTAATTTTGCGGTATCATATTTTTGGAAAATCTTTATGAATATTATATAAAAAGTCTCTTTAATATCTATATTTCATATTTTTATCGATTTTTAAAGTTTTGGCGAAAAGTATTCAATTATTTTTGCTATTTGGTCGGGTAAATGTCAGATTTGCGACATTTTCTGATATGATATTCAAAAAAAAAAAAAAAAAAAAGGTAGTGGGGCTTCCAGGCACTTCGTGCCCTCTAGCCCCGAAGATGTTTAGTATAAATGAAGTTTTTATTCGGAAAATTGTTAGTCTTCTGGTGTGAATTCGGAGGACTCTTCTTCTTCAACATCAAAGTCATCTGGTGTATCGAACTGAATGTATGAAAGCCAAATGTTGTATGTGTTTTCCAATTGGCTTTCAAACTTGAGATACATTCCATGCATGAGTGTTATTTCAGTTTCAACGTAGAGTTGCTGATGTGGCTTGAAGACATGCATGAGAATTGGTCCTCCAAATTCGTCCTTGAAAAACTTGCAGTAGCAAACATAAACTGAGATAGAGTCTCCTTCTTCAATGTCTTCTGCTTGGTTAACGAAATGAATAGCAATTTTGCGTACTTGAATTGTGTTGTTGTCTGAGTAAAATAATGGTTTGAACTTGGGGTTGAGTGAGCTAAGACATTGCCATTTTGCTGTTTCTTGTCCGTACTCACGTTCTTCTTCGTCATCCTGATATCCGTAACTCTTTGATTTGAATTCGACCCAAAGCTGTTCGACTTTTTTTGCAGCTTTGGGTGGAAGACTTTCAATAAGCTGACATATAGTTCTGTCAACCATTATCTTTGTTATTGTTGGAAAATAGTTGACAATTGTGTCACCTAATTCGAATGGGTCAGGTGTTTCTTTTTGTAGTTTGGTAAAGTCTGCAGAACTTTGTTGAGTTGTTCACAATATTCTTTGTTAAAAGTTGCAGGAACTCTTTCTTCTGGCTTTGAATTGAAGTATTCTTCAGACAATCTGAGTAGTATTTTGCGTAGTTCAGCGTTGTTCGTTGGTTCTTTGTAATACGGAGCTCGTTTGGTATTGTTTTTGGTAGTGAAAGTGGCTTTGGATTGAGCGAATTGTCTGTTCTGCTTGGAGAATGTGTAGATGCTGCAGTTTGATATTGAGGCTCTAAACCTGTGGGTGCTGAAGTTTGCAAGCAATTTCTTCAGGTGAATTTGGAGCGAACACGCTAGCGAATGCCATTAGACAAATATGAACTGTTTTTTTCGGACTACTCATAGAAAAGTTTAAATTAAACCGTTTTCGTCAACGGAGACTCCCTCTATTTTTTTATTTTATTTAATAGTTACCGTTGGAAAACCGTTCATCTCAAATTATTGAATGAACTATAAACGTTTTTTGTTTTCTATTAATATTTTGTCCAACGGTAAACTTTTTACACAACGGTTTTTGAGAGTCGTCGCTGTTGACTTTTTTGTAGAGCACTCAAAATAGTATAACTTTGTCCGGACAAATAGGTCTACGTCGCTACAGGAAAGTTACAGGCGTTCCAAGGAAGTATACTTTGAGAAGCTTTCCCTTTATAGAATGAGATAGGACGGTTATTTTACAAACTGACACACTTTGCCAGTAGTTTTTTTGTGCTGACAAAAAGTGTCATATAAACATCTGTCAAAAACCGTTTTTTACTTCACTTAAAATGCCACGTAAGCTACGTAAGAATATACGTAAGAGGAAGAGAGCATTGAAACATCCAATAGTAAAACTAACACCACAACAACAGTTGCAACAACAAATTATGAATGACCCCACTATGTTGCAACAAATGTCAAGCAACCCTATGCTTTTAAACCGAGTTATTGGTGCACAGAGTGGAGGTTTAAGAGCGGCACTTTTAGCGAAAATGGCAGGCTATGGTGGAGCTGCAGACGGAACAGCTTATAACCCTCAAAGTCAAATGAATTTGAGTTCACTCAAAAATCAAATAACAGATGTCAAAAAGTCAAACATAGACATACAGAAACAAATAAGTGAAAACGAAAAGAAACTAGAATATGACAGACACACAAAGAAACTCAATGAGTTAAACGTAGAGAAAAAGAAGAAAGAAGAACAACTGAAAGAACTAAGTACAGAGGAATATGCGAAAAAAGTGTCAGAAAAAGCAGCAGAAGTAGCAAAAATGGAACAAGATGTTATAAATTTGAAAAACCATACTACTCAATATAAAGTACTGAAAGATGAAGAAATAAAACAAAAAGCCCTGAAGACATATATGGATAGCGATGAGTATAAAAAGAAGTTGAAGCAAATGTAAAGGCAGAAAAACTTTTACAGTTGCAAACCAAACCGTACAGTATGAAAACTTAGCACAAGAAAGTAAAAATAACGACGCAGCATGCAAAGGCAATGAAAAGCGCAGAATATATAAAAGCTAATAATGACTGGTTAGATGCCCAAGCCAACGCCAAAGCAGCCCAACTTATAGGGTCAATAAGGACAAAAATACAAGCGGATGAAGACAGTTCAAATGAAGCTTTAATGAATGCTGACTTTAGAGACGCCTTCGAAGCTCTTCATAGTAAGGTGAAACTAGTGAACGACTTCTTTCTGGAAAGAAACTGAAGTCTGAAGGTTTCGACAACGAGTTAAGAGAAGTAGCACAAAATATGACGAAAATAACAGATGCAGCAACGAGACAGGCAGTTCAAAGTGCCTATGACGCCGTTAGAGCAACTGTTGTGGAAAGTCAAGAAAAAGAGTTACAAAGACCAAAACAGACCTAGTAAATGCTTTCTTAAGAACGAAAAGTCAGGTAGGACATTATGCTGCAGATGGAACTATGTGCCAGCTGGTGGAACTTATATACCACCAAACCTCCAAGAGAAGCACCTGCACCAGGACTACCTAAAACATTTACATCGTCACATGGACACAGACACAGGCATGCACCAAAACCAGCACCACAACCAACAGTTCAAAACACTGCACCACAACCAACAGTTCAAAACACCGCACCACAACAACAGTTCAAAACACTGCACCACAAACCAACAGTTCAAAACACTGCACAGCAAACACCACAAACAGAGCAAGGACATAAAAGAAGTAGAGCAAGGAACGAATTCTTAAAATGTTAAGGAAGACTATGGTTACCCAGATACTCTTGATTTTAGTGACAGATATAAAGAAGCTATTAGAAAGTTCAAGGAAGGAAATACTGACCCGAACCTATTTAGCTTTATGGTTCAGCACCAAATGGGATATAATTTCAAACCTGGAAAATACAAGCTCGCTAAGGGATATGATTTAATAGCATATCATCCAAATGACATGACTGAATTTACTCCAAGATATTTGGTGTCAGAGCTAAACGATAATTCAACTCTCTTCATGAAACGCGTAAAAAATAGAGACGGAACGAAAGAAGAAAGGTTTATGAGTCCGGATGACTTAGATAGGGAACTTGTTAAAAACGGTCTCGGAATATATGAAATGCCAGCAGATGAGGTACAAGAAACTCCACAGGAAGAAGTTCAGATACAACCAGACATGGAAGAAATAGTTCAGCAAACAACAGCTAGAAGAGCCTGGAAGGAAACGAACAAGTCCCTCCTTTGGAAACTAACTTCACGAACTAGATGAAGATTTGGAACAGCGCGAAAAATCTTGACCCTCAACAAGTGTATGCGGAGAATATGGAATCTTTCCAAGAGTCTAAGAAAAATTCGGCTGACATAGTAGAAGAATATCGAAAAATGTTCGCCGACATA